GAAAGAGAGAAGCTGCCACCATGGACATAGGAGATTCTGGGATGTTTCTGCTATCTTTCAGCCTTCCAACAATTGGCAGATCTCCATTTCTTAACAAGTTGATAAGAGTTGAACCCACAAGTAGCAGCAGAGCGTCAGGCGCTTTTATCTGCTTGATTCTGGAAAGAAAAATCATTGTGGTATTCTGTTTTGCTCAATCATTCAAACCTTGTAAACCAACAATTGAATCGTTACTCCCTTCAGTGCAAAGGTGTTTTTTTTTTTACACCATCCATGGTTGCTTGTCGGAGCTTGTCCAACCCCAATATTGGACATGTAGTGCAGCAGCACAGATCCCCCCCCCCCAGCATATGAAGGCAGTAAATAGATTGAGAGCCACCAAGGGCTTCCACCCAGCAATCTAGGTCATTAGGTCTACAGTGTAATTTAAGGGAGCGCCACATCTGCTCACATGTAGGCAGAGGCTTGAGTGTTGTGGCTCGAGCATTAGAGCGCTGCCTAATCCTCCGGTGACAGCTGATTGTACGTATTTCGGCTCGCGGTTCTGCAGAGCTCGCTTCATTCGGTCGCCAGAGAGCACTGATTTCGGAGCATAGCTGTGCAGAAAGGCTGACAAGGTAGGAGCATGGTCACATGTTAATGCTATGGTTGATTGCGAGCGTATCACTCCATAGATTTAAACAAAACGCGTGCTTGTACAGGCTCTCCAGTTTGATCGGGGGTTAATGACGCACTGAACACGCGTGTCGTTGTGCTGCAGATTGGAAAATAGTCATGACTGTGTGTCATTTATTATTGTACTGGCATCCTCCTTTGCCCAGTCTCTTGCATGCCATTGGCGGTGGAGGTCGTTGGCCCACATGCTTATAGACTGAATGGACCCTGGCTTATTGGCCGACAGACAGATGACCTAAATGAGTGGAGAGAAAGGATTAGGTGTTTATTATCCTCTCCCTTTATCCTGCTTCCCCTGCCCTCCCTTTATCTCTCCCTCTTAAAGGGGGTGGGGTTTGTCGTTCATTTGTTTGGAGGAGGTGGACCAACCTTTCTGGCTGGTTGTGGAAACCAGTGGGAATATTATTATTGACATTTAGACCAGTCAATATGGCTTCACCATCAACATGACCAGTCCTGTACTCTCAATAATGAGAATATTTCATTAATTCAACCCACAGTGCACTTATAATCATTGAAAGTGCACCCAAATTGTTTAAAATGTGTTAATAAATTAGCTATTTTATTGACGTTGAGGTTTGTTTTTTCATTGGGGTAGTAGTAGGGTAGTCTTTCCTTTTTGTTTTAAGTATATTCTTCTTTATCCACAAGGGATAACGCTGCTATTCAATACTTGTGTTATTGTCAACAAACCCAATAATGCTTTAGTAGTCCCTCTACCAATAAAGTTGAAGCCTCAAAGCCACAGCGGGCTTACTGATGTCCAGTAATAAATATAAATTGTGAGTCGTAGCTCAAACAGACCGTGGATAAACCGCACCATAATCTCTTTTGCTCCCGAAAGTCATCAGAAGGAAATGTGATGAGGCTTTATCACCGCAGTTACACACAGACAAAGAGATTGGTCACCCTCACACAATAACGCCCGGCCGGTAATAATAACAGGGAAGTCAGCTGGAGGCGTTCAGACGAGGAGGGGATAGGAAACAGCAGCCTGAGGGGGGGGGGGTGAGTGACTGACTGGCCCTCTGGTCGACCATTTTGGTTAGTGCAGCCAGGCAGATAATTAAAAGTGATCGCAATCTTTGACACAGTGAAGTCGCATCACACCTCAGAGCTGCAGGAGCTGCCTCTCACTCTCTGTCAGTGACACTTTGTGAGTAGATAAGTCTTATTTCATCTTCTTCAGAAAGCTCTCCAAATATCTCGTCACACCTTCTTCCAAATCAATTCAGTGCCACTCCACCTCTTCAATTTTCATGAATATTGAGATTTTAAGTCAAAACTACTTTCTCTGTGATATCTCTCCCAGCAAAAACACTTTCCCCCCCCTTTTCCAAAACTCTTTTAATTAAACCGACGAGCACTTCAGAAGCTGTGACGTTCTCTCGCTCAAGAGCAGATCATGCCTCAAACCCATTTACTTGCAAATGAACTTCCCGAGATGTGTTTTTCTCTCCAATCTGTGCCATTTGTCATCCAAGTGAGACTTCATAGTGTCGCCGCTGTTGAGTCTGTTTTCCCAAAAAAAACAGAATATCTGAGGCAGTGTTGTTATTTACAGCCCAAAGTGCATTTGGAGGCAGATGACACTGACACCCAGATGACTTTTCTTCAGAGAAAAGATTACCTTGTGCAGCTCCGTTGGGACATTTTAAAAGCCTGGCTACTGACTGCACAATCTTTCCAGTGTCAAATCAGGATTTATTGGAGAAGAGTTCAGTATTTTCGAATGACATTTATAGTCTGGCTTTTATCTACTATCAGAGCTGGGTTAAGTTTTTGCTATCTAGATAGAAGAAGCATTTCAAATCTATAAGTCAAAATCCTTTTATACAATCCACATCTGAAATCAAACAGCCTGTACATATACTGTTGAACTCACTCTCTGATACCATATGATGAATGGAGCAACCCAGTTAAATCAGCCACATTTGACTTTTAGGGTGTAAATAATGTAATATTGATGATCCGCCGCAGCCAGAAGTCGGGTATAAAGTGGCTCTGGGCCGTATCCCTGCTGAGTATCAAATATATATTTGTAAATAAAACATTTACCCATAAAATATTCACATATATAGGCTCTATGAACCAGTTGACACAGTTTGATTCAATTCATAATTCACCCTGTGGCTTTCCAGTCAGATATCATGGGCTTCATTTGAAAACACTATATGTTCTGCACATAAAACCACATATTTAATTCATTTAAATGACACGTTAACCATAATATTTACAGATACCACATTTCTTATATTTAATATGAGACTTCACTTTAGACAGCTTATTACTGAGATTAAGTAATAATAATAATAATAATATCATTATAGGTGTGATTTAACCCTCCTATTGTCTTCGTTTCCCCCCCCCCCCCTTACTTTGGTGTTCGCGGTCAAATTTGACCGGTCCTGTTTTAACTGCTATTACATTAACACAAAAACCATTAATCATCACCAAATTTCTTTTAACACCCTTTCAAACTGTACATATTGTATCAGACTACTGGTATACATGAACAACTGCAGTACATATACAAATATTAGACAATGAACATGTATTGTGCCAGGTGTGATCCATGTGGGGGGATGGGCACATACGAGCGGGAAATGTGTCAAAGTAGTAAATCGGTCAGATTTGACCCGAAGACAACAGGAGGGTTAATTTAATCATTTAAATGAAGGTGGAAAAAAGTACCTTTAACCTCTTAAAAATGTTGCTTTTACTAACTACATATAACTGTTATATTGTGGGGATTTTGTTCTCAGTTAAGTCATAACCACTTTGTCGATAATGTGTCAGGAAATAGTTAAAAATGTCCTCATAGGCCTTGTTTTAAACAGTCATAACACCAAATTATAATTATATAAAACAGGGAAAAAGTGGAAAATACTCTTGTAAAAAAAAAAATAGTTGACCTTTATTACTCTACATGTAAATACAGTACTTCTAATCATCGTAAACCACCAGCAGGGGGTTTCTTTCTGATTTATTTTACATTTTAGGGTCATCTCCATAGAGAAAGTGGGTTGGCTCATGTACACTGTGGCTAATTACAGCACAGCTTTCTGTTACTTTATACACTATGAATAACTCAGAGGGGCTTCCCCCATTACTGCCTCGTGCTTATTTAGGTTATGAGAGTTTCTTTAATGAGGGTATTCCATCCTTGATGTAGGCAGCGCTTCTTGTTGGTTTATATCTTCATATTAAGAAGTTCCAGTGATTACACAAGTATTAGGAGCTGCAATATGTCATTTGAATTGTTATTATCTCACTTAGACAATAAGACTTAAGTTAACCCTTAGATGCACGAGTGACTGGACCCTACACTCTTCCATAAGTGGGTCAAAAAGGACCCGTATTAGAATGTGTTTTTATGCCATTTTTGTCATTTTGGTTAAGTAAAATCACTTGTATGATATTTAGTATTATATTTTGGTTCACACTAGAAATATTTTATAATAAATGTTTCACTATTTATAATTTTAGACATTTCTTTTACATTTTGAAAAAAAACGAAATTCCATAGAAAATGCATGCGGGTCATTTTTGACCCACTTATGGAAGCTTGGGGTAGTAATACAAAAACTACAATTTCTTAAAATTTAAATTAAAAATGTGAATGGCATGATATCCAAAACATGTTTTTTGAGGAATAGCTGGAATATGAAATGATAAAAAAATGTAATTACAAAGATACTCTAAGAAAACCACCTCAATGGGTCCAAAAAGACCCACTTATGCATCTAAGGGTTAAGGAGACATGCTAGATGACATCTAATGCCTTTGCATTTTTTATTCGCTCCTATTTTGTGTTAAACTTAATAAAAGCTAAGTCGGATGATTTAATTAACATCTTCTTTTCGTTGCTTTGATAATAAATGATATGTAGAGTTGAGCTCTTGCGATGGGACTAATTATTATTCTTTTGTTCCGTTAACATTGCATTATCACAGCTGTGGAGTAAAGACAGTCTTCTCTAATATGAGTGTATTTTCTAATTAGAATGAAAGGGACAATATTAGTAGGAGTCTGTGTACAAACCCAAGGCAAAAAATACAATATAATCTTAAAAAAACACTGTTGAGTTCATCAAAATGACTCTGTGTCCACTTTAAGATGAGTAATAAACGAAGGGAAATATAATAACTTCCATGTAGTACCTATATATCTTCAGACAAAATGAAGGTCGCCGAGTGTGTCTCTACTTGGCTAGCGTCCAGCGCGAGTGTTAGCGCGAGTGCCCAGCGGTGGCTGCAGAGCTGGTTGATACTGACCATCTGTGTGTATGTTGTGTGTGTGTGTGTGTGTGTGTGTACGTGCAGCTCCCCGCAGACTTCAGCAGACTTCACCTGGTCGACGGCTTGCACCCACAGGTGACCCGCGTGTCCTCCAGCCACTCAGGATGTAGTATCACCAGCGACTCTGGAAGCAGCAGCCTGTCAGACATTTATCAGGTAAGGACGCCCCCCCATTGGGGCTGGATCCCCAGGTTGGACCCCCCCCCATGGATAAATAGTGCAGTAGGTGTGTTAGTTTAATAATGGATTGATTTGGGGTTACATTTTGACAATGGGATGTGTTTTATTAGCTTCCTTTCTAGATTAAACTACTGTAAGCCACGTTACCAAGGACATCAAATGAAAACACTGATGTTTCTAACCTTATCTTTGTGGATAAATTAAGTAAGAAGGTTGAACTAAAGCCCAGCTCATATTATTCCAAGATGGTGAGACTCCCCTTCCTGAAATGACAAATATACCTCTGGGAACACAGGTTAGTCTCATTAAGTAGGACACAAACATTCTGGAAAGAAAGTAAACGTTTGGCAGACTCTCTGAGACACTAATAGGACGTTGTCACTTCTCAACGGGTGGTCCCGCCTCCATCCGGCCTCCAGCTCTGCTCTCAGCACCTCAAAGCAGAAAGACAGCCCTCCCAGAGAGATGTGACACACCATCTTGTGTTCTAAGGAGCTTTTAATAAATAGAGCTTAAGTGAATAAATAAGAAGATGTACACATATTTGAGCAACCTTACCCTTTCCTCAGGTGGTTAATAAAACCAAATGAACATACGACACATCTCGTGACTGCGAACGATCGTAACCCCAAACCCTGCGAATAATCCTCTTAACACACAGTGCGCACCCTATTGGCTCGTCACGCCGTCACCTGCTGTGCTCAGGGGCAGCAGGCAGAGTCGTGTGTGTGTGTGTGTGTGTGTGTGTGTGTGTGTGTGTGTGTGTGTGTGTGTGTGTGTGTGTGTGTGTGTGTGTGTGTGTGTGTGTGTGTGTGTGTGTGTGTGTGTGTGTGTGTGTGTGTGTGTGTGTGTGTGTGTGTGTGTGTGTGTGTGTGTGTGTGTGTGTGTGTGTGTGTGTGTGTGTGTGTGTGTGTGTGTGTGTGTGTGTGTGTGTGTGTGTGTGTGTGTGTGTGTGTGTCCGCTCTTACAGCCATCTGCTCATTGTGTCTCTTGATTTCACTTTCTCTGAAACACACCGTCTGGTTTCCTTCCTAGTCTCTCAATCCCCCTTCGCTGGACCCCCACTCTAACAGCCTTTAATCTACCTGTCGCAGCACCTTCTCTCTCTCTCTCTCACCGTGCTATTTATACCCCGACACCTTGCTCGAACACCTTGCCTTAACTTGTGTGTCAATCTCAATGTCATTATCGCTCTTTCTCTTGTCACATGTGATCAACCTCCTCAGCGCGGCTCACTGGTGGCTTACTGTGTGCTTTGGCTACACCTGTCGTGCCTATTAAAGGATCGGTATGCAAGTGTCTTTGAATGCTTTGAGTGATTTCAGAGGTGTTTCAAAAGGACGCATTACGTTTGCTGGCGTGAGAATCCCACATTTGAGGATTTGCGGTATAACTTGGTCTTTTTTTCATTTTAGTAAACTGGATTTCTTTTTGGCTGGTAATTAAATCAAACAATCATTTAAAAGATATTCATTTAAAAAAGCAGTTTATTTTTGCTTATGACCGTGTCACTTTTTTTTGGTATTACTGTGTCTGTGGGCTATGATACATAATGTTTCCATTTCCCTCTCCTTGTAATCATCTCCTGCCCTCTCTGATTGATCTCGCTTGCAGTTACTGCAGCACTACTTCTGAAATGAGGATGAAGACGTTCAATTAAGTTTGTTTTATCTCGTTGTTCTTTTACTTTTATCAGTCAGGATTCAGGGCTTCTTCTCACAATCCCCCTCCCTAACTTTTAGACTACTAATAATCAGCACACAAAATCAAAATGCCTAAACATTAAGAATGTAGAAAAGGATTTGCGTTCCTCTTACTGTCCTGGGGTCCCCACAGGACTCCCCTAACTTTTTGCTTTAGGCAACTTTACACATTAGCTTCAGTTAGCTTAGCATCCTGCAACTATGTGTGTGTCCTAGTAGAAGAAGAGCAATGTGTGTGGTCTTCACTGGAGGTGTTTTCTGAACAAACAGAGCCCTTGAGACCACAGGGAGTTGATGGCACAAATAATGACGCGGTTATGTTTTAATTTTCGAGTTAGTGTGCATATAGGTGATTTATTAATGAGGAGCATTAAATAGTTTAACCACCAGGTGCTCTAATCTCCACAATTGAATCATCCGGTGAAAAGTCCCACATCACTCTCTCACGTCACTGACAACATGGCGCTCTGTTTTGCATCTGAATAAATCATGAAATTGGTCCTTCAGAAGAACTTTGTAAGCATTGATCCAAGAATAGCCCTGATGAAATATTAACAACACCTGACTTGCACACTGTCTTGTAATGCTTACTGCACATTCATGGATTGTTGATGCATATATGACACGAGAACGAGCCTGTGCACAGATACAAAACCTGTATTTAAATGCAGCCCGCGTGTTATAGATGATACTGTTTAGAAGGAAAATAACAAAACCTCATTTCAGTTTCCTATTAAACTGGCTGCAGATACCAAGTGTGGTGAACCTGTCTAGAGTGTCCTCTGTCCATCTGTGGAAAATGGGACATGAATATGTAACTCTCTGTAGTTTTGGGACAAAGGGTGCTCAGGGAATACTATTCAAATTTATGTAAGAGGTCCCTCCATGTTCACCTCTTTTGAAGTCAGTGTTTATCCCAGCCATTGTAACACTATTCCACTTCATCCACTTATTATGTTTTTGAGATAAGATGCGATGCTTGTATTGTATACTTACTTATTCTGTGACCATTGGCTCCACCCCATCGTGTGCACCGGTGACGCCCAAATGGCCACTCAGACACTGGCGTGAATCATTGATGAGCCTTTTGCACATGGCGTTTTGAGGGGAAATCATGTAGGGGTTTCTGTGAAGGACCTTGGACTCTGCGCTCTGAAACATTAAAAGCAGGCTGACAGACTGGGAGGTGAAGATGCGTCTGGCTCTGGGATTTTGCGGACAGTTTGCAAAGGCAACATTTTCTTCTCTTTCTGTTAAGAAGCTTGACGTTGGGCGTTATATTCAGGTGAGAAGGTTGTTGTGTTGCCCTGTGGCGGTGCAGCAGGGCTGATGCTTTGTTGTACTTTCTTCAACCGCTTTGGTTAATGCCGCGTTGCAGGAACCAGGCGATACGGCCCTTCTGTCATTTAAAGAAATCTTTCCTTTGATGATTGCAAAGGGACTCAGTTAGTATCACTCCTGCAAAAGTCATTTCATTTCTTTTTCGCTCCTGATCTCGGTTAATTGTCCTCATCTCCAAAGAACAGGATGTGGCTTCGAAGGCAGGCTGTGGAGTTTGCGGAGGGGAGCGAGAGGAGAGGAAAGTTGGGAGATAATGAGCTTGTTACTATGCATAGCACACTTGTTGGTGTGCAGTGTTGACGCCTGTCTTTCTCTCTTACTCTCTTGTAGTACTGAACACGTCGAATCCATTTCAATAACTGGGTCAAATCTGCGCACCAGATTTACAGAGGGTCTTTTTTTATTCATGCTATTTCTTGGAAGTGCTCTGTGTTACAGCAGATGTTTGTACTGTATAATGATTTCAGCAATGTGTGTGTGTGAGTGTGTTTGCATATGAGATCTCAGTTTCTTTGTCGTTCTAAAACTGAGTTGTTGTTTTTGGCTGTTTACTAATGTGTTTTCTCTGAAATGAACACGAGTTGGCTCACTGGCTCAGTCGGCAACTCCCATTATTATATTCACGTCTCAGGCGTCTATCTGACAATCTGAAGCATTGTTTGTCTGAGCATTGTTTGTACGTGCTTCAGTGACTCACCCCAAGCCGTGGCTGTAGATTGACGTCTGATCTTTGCTGATATGTGTATTGACTGTAGTTTTCCCAACTGCTGATGTTGAATGGAAAAAAAAAAAAAATCCCTCACCTTGTTGAACTTTGGTCTCAGATGTCTGACAACTTTCTTATGCGTTTGCTGTTTTCTAGGCCACAGAAAACGAACAAGGCGACATGGACCTCAGCGGCTTGCCAGAGACCGCTGTGGACTCCGAGGAAGACGACGATGAGGAGGACATCGAGCGAGCGTCGGACCCCCTCATGAGCAGGGACATCGTGCGGGACTGTCTGGAGAAAGACCCCATGGACAGAACTGACGATGACATAGGTGAGCACCTGAAAGAACAGTGTTCATACGAGGCTTTCCAGGTGCACTATAGTTAGTTTGCCATGCAGTGTTTCCTTTAAAAATACCCAATCTATTTTTTGTGCATGCCTGAAAATGTGTTTTTTGAAAGATATCTGCGTTCAGTGTTGTTCCCAGCTGGGACAGTTCTCCCTGTCCCAATTTGAGATGAATTCAGCGCAGTGTAAAAGCCACACCCTTCTCCTTTTTTTCTTTGAATCGGTCACCATGAATCTCCATTTCTCTGAAGCCTGTTTCGCTCTCATTTGCGATGTACGCTTTCAAATAATTCTGAAAGCCTCATCAAGCCTGCAGTATCATATCCCTTAAAGCTATGACTCAACTCCAATGATAATGATAGGCATGTTTAAAAAAAAAAAAAAAAAAAAAGCAGAAACAAGCTCACACTGTCAGGGCTTAGCTACAGATGTGGACTGGGGGAGGATGATGCTCAGAGTGCCAACCGTTCTCCCCCTCCCTCCCTCCTACTCATCCCCCCGCGGTACACCCCTCCCTTCGCCGCCAGGCTTTTCTAGGTCACTCCGGCACATCCTCTCGCCTCACCTCTCCCAGCACATTAAAGTTTCAAAGCATCCGCAGCTTCACACACGAGGCTGTTGCCATGCCAAGCACAGGTCAGCCAGAACGCCAGACGGCTGCTGTGGGGCGAGGATTTGGTTAGTAGAAGAAGAGAAAGGGGTATTTTCCTACTTTAGACCCCAATGTAGGGTGCTGCAGAATGTCTCACACCCTACATTATATATATATATATAGCTTTTTCCTCGGCGACACACCCAGTGAAATACCGACTATTAAAGCTCTTCACCGAAATACCCAACATTTTTTCTTACTTTCTAACCGTGCACATACAGTACAGAAGTTTTGTTTTGATGTGCCGTGCCTGCTTTGAAATATGTGCCACCGCTCCAGTACAAAGGACAGGATAAATAATTTAGTATATGCAGCTTGAAACAATGGATACAACGTTTGAGAAGAAAGAAATGAACAGCAACTTGTCTTTTGGGATGCGCTCTTTGTTCCACAAATCTCACTGTGACAGTTTTCATTAAAATAACTTTCTACTGAGAGAACATGTCACTGTGAAAACTGCTCACTGTGAAATCCACGGATTATCCTGAGTAACGAGTGTGTGAATAATTGATTCATCGAGTCAGCAAAAACGACAGACATTGCATGTGAAGCTTTCTTTGTCCTAATCAATAGTGAACCAAATCAATCTTTATGTTTGCACGTCAAATAAAACAAGATATTGGTGGTTTTTTAAAAGTGATTTCTGATTGAATAAGTGATGAAGAAGACAAAAGCAGTGACTGAGATAATCAGAATCAGAAATCCTTCATATGTCCTGCAGCAGGGATATTTAATAGCATATCAGCTACAAATATACAGTTTAGATAAAAGGAAAAAGTATATTAAAGTTGAGACCTATATATAATTAATGAGTAACTGTATTTGCAACCTTAAGTATCTTTATTTCAATGCTGCAAACTATGCAAAGAAAATGACACGCAACTATCTGCATGGTTACTTCCTGGAGAATGATCAAATACTTTTTTGATATAAATATAATACATAATTGAAATCACCGTGAATGAAAATGAAGGAATGTAAAGTACTGTTTTGTTATGAGCTAATGAAAAAAATATGCAGTAATAAAACTGTCAATGTCTTTTTGACAGCGAGTCACCTTTGTCTCAAGGCCGCTACACACCCACCTGAGACCAAAGAACGCGTACCGAAGGCGTCCCGACTTTTCCCGACTTTTACGTCAGCTACGTCGCCTGCGTCGGCTACGCCGCCCGCCTACGAACACACCGCAAATACTTCGGTCGACGAGTGGCAATAACTGTCCTTACCAGCAGGCAGCGGTAGTGTGAACAGCCAATCAGAGTGATTGCTTGTCCCGACTTTCTCTGACCTCCCGGGAGGCGTCGGGAGGTGTGAAAAGGTGCCGTAAAGAGACGACGGTGCGGGGCACACAAACCTGAGTAGGGCGCCGCGAATGCCCGACTGCCTCTGACTCCCAAAATCGGGCTGGTGTGTCCGGGCCTTCACACAAGCCTTTTCCAACTCCAAACTAACTGAGAAGTTTTTTTTTGGTGAGCTGTTCCTTTAAACTTGATCAAATCAGTGAATTGCAGTGGAAGTGTCTGCAGTGTACTTAATAAACGCACACAGAGGTCATTGAGTGAGGAGTCAGCGATTATTCCTGGCTCGCCTTGAAAGTGTATATCAATGGGATTGATATTTGGTTTTATGTGCTCCAGATAATGATTCCTCTGTTGGCTTTCACTGTGGTGATTATCCGTGTTGATGCTCGTGCCTTCTTGGCTCAAACTGAAGGCTGCCTGTGCTTTTTCTCTCCTCTGTGTATTAAGTCTCTTATTATTTCTCACCCTCCTTCACTTCCTCTGTGTCTCTCCTCTGTGCAGAGCAATTACTGGAGTTCATGCATCAGCTGCCAGCGTTCGCCAACATGACGATGTCAGTGAGGAGGGAGCTGTGCGCCGTCATGGTGTTCGCTGTGGTGGAGCGCGCCGGCACCATCGTTCTCAATGATGGAGAGGAGGTGTGTGTTGGTGCATGCACACATAAGGCCTGTCTTGTGATTTGACTTAAATTATATTTATATATGTGTTCGTGTCTCTCGGGGAACTGAACCCTAGTCTCACCCCTTCACACCAGCGAATCGTTCATCTTCCATTTAATCTGCTCTATTAAATGTGAGTGCTTGACAACCCGCACTGTAGTGCCAGGCCTGATGTGGAGTCCCTCAGGCGACTAAAGCAGGCATCACTTATTCTCTCTCGGTCTGGTCAAGACACGACAGGAATTTCATTCAAGACGATTTGGCTTTTTTTCTTCTTTCTATGATGCACTCAACAATAGAGAGCAGACCTTTCCTTTAAAGCTACTTCAGTAAATGTCCGGTCACAGAGATTTCAGGGTTCAGCGAGCATATTGTTGCTGTCGGGGGGGAAAGAGGGGAATCTGTGAAATGTCCGCGATTCAGGAATTCATCAAAACATCCTTACTTTATATTATACTCAAAAGGATAAGAAATTAGATATTTATCCACTTCAATCAAGCACGTGTTACCTGTAACCAGAGGTGGACAAAGTACTCAAATATGTTACTGAAGTCAAAATAGTAAAACCCTATTTTAGAAATACTCTGCCATAAGTAAAATGCCTGCATTCAAAATGTTACTAACGTGAAAGTACAAAAGTATAAGCTTCAAAATATACATTAAGTACCATTATTAAAAATGTCCTTTTCCCGAATATATATATATCAAATCACTTGAATATAAAGGTAGAGCTGTCTCTAACAACTTTGAAAAGTAATGTGTAAATTATGTTGCCAATTATATAATAAAAACTAGTGAAAAGTACAATATTAGTGATGTTTCGGTCGCGAACGAGCCGGCTCTTTTAAGTGAACGACGGGAGCCGGCTCGCGCCCCGCGAATGAGCCGTTTTGTTAAGTAATACAAGACAGAATGATATGATGATCTCCGCGCTACGGGTGCTCCGTGCATGCAGGCAGCGACATGTCATATCCAAGGATTAGAGACTGTTGGATGCTGCTGTTTTGAGCATCGCAATATATTTATTTTCATTATGTTATTTATTTATGATTATTTTTAGGCTCAGCAAAGATTTGTTGTCAGTTTGTGTAGGTGTTGCTATCTGCTTTTTTTTTGCATGGTTCTACAATCAGAGAGTTACAAGAGTCTGTACATGCAATGAAAACAATTGACCACAGCAAATCATTTATATTAAAAATGTAATTTTTACTTTTGAATACTTCAGTACAAAGGATGTATTGAATAATTTAAGTGATATATGTGTACACATATAAATCATTAGTCAAAACAGGGCTACATTTGATTGACTTATAAAAGGTATATTTCGCAGATAAACCTAGTAACCCCGCCCCCTTAAAAAGAAAACCGGCTCTTTTGAACGGCTCTCGCAAAGGAACGGAGCCATAAGATCCGGCTCCCTTCAAAGAGCCATAATTCCCATCACTATACAATATGTGCCTCTAAATTGTAGTTGAGTAGAAGTATAACCAAGCAGAACCGAGAAGTGATTCATGTAAAGTACAAGTACCTCAAAATTGTACTTAAAGGTAAGGTAGGGTAGGTAATTTCGGAGAAACCGGCTCGAGATCGCTAGAATTTGAAAATACACAACCGGAGAAAATCTGCCACTTCCTTATAGAGCCCCTCCTCCAACACACACGAACACGCACATGACCAATGAGGGCACGAGATAAGTTTGTGCACAGATGGAAGGCTGACAGGCAGGTAGGCCATCCAGTTATTTTAGCCGGGCCGGCTAAAATGATAATTTTACAGTACTACGGCTTCCACAGATGACATTTTTTTATGGATTTTTTGTCAAAGCACTTAAGATATTCATTGCTATCGGGATGTTAAGAGCATTCCATGGAATATAACAAAAAGTGTATCTCGAGCCGGTTTCTCAAACTTACCTACCCCACCTTTAAGTAAAATATAGAGTATATGTAAATAGTTATAGTTCACTCTCTCTCGTAACCGTGCTTCGAGTATCATCTTCATATTCTAGTCGTGTTTTGCAGGACCGCTCTAAACAATCCCTGTTTTTCTGTATCACTCTAAGGGAAGTAAAAGCCATCTGTCCCGTGCTAGTTACTGCATCTGGTTCTTTGTGATAAATAACTTTGACTCATAAAGTGACACCAGCTGTTGGGAATAAAACTGAACTGATCTGTCCCTTTTCCAACGTTTAGTTTCTTCCTTTTAGTTCTTTGTTCTAATATAATGTTGTGTTTGGGCTCCAGCTGGACTCGTGGTCGGTGATCCTGAACGGCTCGGTGGAGGTGACGTACCCCGAGGGCCGCACAGAGATCCTGTGTATGGGGAACAGCTTCGGGGTGTCACCCACCATGGAGAAGGAGTACATGAAGGGTGTGATGAAGACCAAGGTGGACGACTGCCAGGTAGGAGCGTAATGATCCTGCACGGTATCACACGGTTAGAAAGTCCATTTCATCTGCATCTCAGTGGGCAAACTCTTATATCTAATGATATGAAATCCCACTGTGATCCAGTGTATGCAGACAATGTTTGCACTCATGATATTGTAAGTAGCTTTGGGTGAGGGCTTCCCCTTAAATGTGAGCAACAACCATTTTGAAATAGAATATCTAAAGAGCAAGATAGCGTTATTGGCATCATGTGTTCAATGGGAAAACAGTGCTGAATAGTGAAAGTACACACACTGATTTGTCCGTTTAATCGTCAGGAGATGAACTCAGTGGTTGGGATTAGAAAGTGTTTCATCCCAATCAGCAAAAGCCATTGTTTTCAAAATTCATCAATTGTTTAGTTGCTATGCAGAAAACATTTTTAACCAGCTTTCATATGTCGTATTCATTTGCCATTAATGAGGATGTTGTAACAGTAATATACATGTTTAAAATACATCAACTTCAATACAGTTTGTGTCAAATGTTTCACCCTGTCTCTAACTCTGTGTTTTATCGTGTCTGCTCCAGTTTGTGTGCATAGCCCAGCAGGACTACTGCTGCATCCTCAACCAGGTGGAGAAGAACATGCAGAAGGTGGAGGAGGAAGGGGAGATCGTCATGGTGAAGGAGCACCGCGAGCTGGACCGAACCGGCACCAGGAAAGGACACATCGTCATCAAGGTAACACATCAAGGCTCAGCAAATTCACATTTTCACAAACACCTCAAACTAAAACGGAATTGTCACTCGACAGCCAACCAAATAATGACAGCTAGATATTCTAACAGATACCACCTCCCAATTGTGCTTGATAGGTTGTTTTAATGAAATAAAACCATTATTTTTTAACCTCAGGGCACATCGGAGCGTCTCACCATGCACCTGGTGGAGGAACACTCGGTAGTGGACCCCACCTACATCGAGGACTTCCTGTTGACCTACAGGACCTTTCTCTCCAGCCCCATGGTCGTGGGCAGGAAGCTCCTGGAGTGGTTCCACGACCCCAGCCTCAGGGACAAGGTACGGGAGATAATCTTCATGAACTGATGACATAACTCAAATATGAATGATTGACAAATATTTGATAGAAAATGGAGTCTATTTCCTGCAAAAACACACATTGAGTAATTGATAGCTTGCATGAAAATAAAGGTACTCCGGCACACATTAGCAAAGATTTTCCATGAACCAGATGTTAACTATACAATATATGAACTATCAATCCACCAGTAAACAGTGTATTGACCCGTGCTGATCATGTGATCCCTCCAGGTTACACGGGTAGTCTTGCTGTGGGTAAACAATCACTTCAATGACTTTGAGGGTGACCTTGCCATGACTCAATTTCTGGAAGAGTTTGAAAACAATCTGGAGAAAGAAGTAAGTATAAAAAACCTACACATGAATTACTCAATAAATGTACTTCAAATATGCCAATATATTGCACTTTCCTTACATCTGTGTCCTCTGTGTCTTCCAGAAAATGTGTGGGCACCTCAGACTGTTAAACATAGCGTGTGCTGCTAAAGCCAAGCCGCGGCTGGTGACGCTGACCAAGCCGTCCAGGGACTCTCCGCTGGCCTTCACCCTCCTCGGAGGTCAGGAGAAAGGTTTCCGCGTCTTCATCGATGCCGTGGAGCCCGGGAGCAAAGCAGCAGAAGTTGGCCTTAAGCGTGGAGATCAGGTAGGATATTTTGTTTACATAGAAACCTTCCTTCTGCTGTGAGAAAGTGTCTGAAGTGTACTCAAATATCTGACTCTAGGGAGGAAAAGTGCACATAGCCTTTAAGTTATACACTTTTTGGCTTCAGGCTCCAATTGAGAGCAACATTCACTCATGTCACACAGACCAGCACTTGAATAGAGCATTCTTCTGGTGTTGGAAATTCATTTTTTGTTGTGAAATTGGTTTTACATTTTAGCTATAACTACCATTAAAAGTTTTTTTTTTTTTAAAGTTGCCAGTAGCTGCAGGCTTTGGCTTTCTTCTCGCGACTTGACTGCTGGAACATTTTCACACTTTGCAGTCCTCGGGGCTTTAAGCAAAGTCCCTTAATCCTTGAAACCATCTTAAGAGTGTCTGGATGCGAGCTAAGCCCTCTTGACTCCAAACATCCTCTGCAGCTGTTTCCCCAAAAGGAAGCGGAGAAGTTGGCATCTTTTTAGAAGCATTCACTCTCTCACACCTTCCACTTTTTTTACCAGCTTCTCTTACAATCATCATACATTCAGAACCTGTCACTGCAGAGCTGTGGTATTAGTCACATTTGTTTTTCGTCATCGTGCCATAAGCAGAAGTCTCTTAAGTAGTGAGAGTGTCGCTAATCGCCGCTGATCCCAGACGTTTGGTCTAATAAGTCACTGCTTACCGGCGTCACAGCGGCGGAGGATGGTCTCTGCGTATGTTACGGTCAAAGGTGACTTCCACTTCCACTAAAAAGGAAGCGGCAGAGGCTGGTTAGCATATTGTGTTAAAATGCAAATATCCGGCCTATTAAGAGGGCAAGCTGTGAAGACAGTCTGAAGGAGACATGGCTCAGATTAATGTCTTAAAACATGTGTTGGACTAAATGTCATGATGTATAACATGTCAGAGGTTTTCTTCTTTGTGCGCTGAATAAAATATGTGGTTCAGAGATCATCACCTGGAACATTAACATTAGTGCAAGGCTTAACCCTTTCTGCCCTGATCCAATGTGGCATGCAGTTATTCACGATGAGGTAGCCTTAGTTTACGATTTGGTATCGTTTTAATTCCAGAGTAAAAAGTTGTATTCTGCCAATTGTTTGCTAAATTCCTTCTTCTTCCTCCTGCAGATCTTGGAGGTGAACGGGCAAAACTTCGAGAACGTGCAGCTCAACAAAGCCAACGAGATTCTGAAGAACAACACACACTTGTCCATAACTGTGAAAACAAACCTTTTAGGTAAAGTTGCATCGCATTCATAAGATACAGCTTGTTAGAATGATGTCGAAATGTGAAGGGTGGCACGATATTCAAACCTGTTTCTCCTTTAAAATGCTAATTTATTTTGAATATTCATGTGTGATTGATGGCCCGTCTCTCCTGCACTTGGGCATGAGTTTTGCTAAAAATATATTTTATTTGACTAGTGAAAAGGAAACATACACATTTAGTTTCTGATTTGACAACACTTGCATCTGCGGACTTCTCGTGAATTCAGTTGCGATAACCGGTACATCAATGTGACCAGTAAGGTTTGCAAGTAGATATTGCTCAGTTGTATAATGTCACAAACAAAAAGCATTCGGAACTAGTGTATTAAATGTCCGGCAGTGGCTCAGTCAGTAGGGGCTTGGACTGGGAGCTGTAGGGTCGCCGGTTCAAGTCCCCGACCAGACCTAAAATATGGAGTGTGGACTGCTACTTGGAGAGGTCCCAGTTCACCTCCTGCCCTGCCGTGGTGCCCTTGAGCAAGGCACCGGACACCCCCCTTCCCCCCCCCACTCCCATTGGTCCCCGGGCGCTGTACAATAGCTGCCCACTGCTCCTAGTACTAGTACCAGACTCCTGGTACTAGGATGGGTTAAAAGCAGAGAACACATGTCACTGTGTGTGCTGTGTGCTCTGCATGTGTGACCATTACAGAGGGTTTCATCCCTCCCAATTCTATTCTATTCTATTCTATTAAATCAAAGAGAGCCATTTCAACCAAGAGAAAAGATCCTAATAATTGCAGAAGAGACGTACGTGCTTTGAAAGCTAAAATAAAGAGACTGGGATAATTGTGTCCATACTTATAAATCAGAATCAGAATACCTTTATTAGTCCCACAGAGGGGAAATGTACATTGTTACAGCAGAAGAGAGACAAATACAGCTTAATGTTACCTAAGTAGCATGCATACAAAAATAAATATTAAAGATCAAAATAAATTATAATAAATAAAGTTACACAATTTACAAAAAACACATCTTGTAACAGTTCTAAGGATTTTAGCATCCAGGTATATATTGCACAGTTATTAACGACATATATATATATATTGCACATATTGCACATAGTTGGTGGTTAACAACAAGGAGTGTTATAGTCTGTGTTTACAGTGTTTGTTCCGTTACTAATTCTGAATACGTTCTATTACTAATTATTTGTCTCCTCTTCCCTTTCTGTCCAGTTTTTAAAGATCTGCTTACCAGGCCAGAACACGACCATGATCTGGACGGTGAGGAGGAACACGAGAGAAAGAACGGAGCGCCCCCACCTCCCAAAGATCGGAGACATCAAGAAGGCGAGCCGCTACTCCATCCCCGACCTGGCGGTGGACGTGGAGCAGGTGATGGGCCTGGAGAAGGTCAGCAAGAAGGCCAAGTCCAACTCTGTGGGAGGACGCAACAAAGCTGAAGAAGATCTTCGACAAACACTCACCAGCATCCTGCCGCCTAAACCATACAAGTAATTACACTTGGCTCACAGATCTGTGATTGTTCTCTATCCAAAGAGCTGAAGGCATGAGAGAGAAAGATGTGATGTTCCTGTGTTTCGGTTGAGGTTTTGATTAACACAATGGCGTGCAGACGAAGCAGTGATCCATACACACCCATCTGATTGACACTAATTGGGCTGTTTGTCTCCACTTTCCTAAATTGTTAAAGCTCAGGAAAAGTTGTCCTTTTCTCCCGACATTGCACCACGCTGCTCTGATTGATTTCTGCCAAGCGAATGTACAATCATCAATCACCTGCTGAGCTGAATCAGACAGATCTCGATGCTTCTGATCTCGCGTTCAGTGTAGTTTTCAAAGAAATATTTAAACAATCATTTCCCTGATGAAACGTGTGGCTTATGCTATGAGTTAGCGCCATAGCTCCTTTTCCCTGAAGCTTAATAGACCTTATTTTATGTTTTATAAAAATGTCAAGGCAATCTTTTTTCTCGTGAAGCGAGGCGCCCTCACTCTTAAATGCTGCAGGAAGGAAAACCTTGAATAAAAGTGCATATTTTTGACTTTTTTATTAGACATAATTGAAGTGCTGACACCAGTTCAGCCCACAGCTGACAGTGACAGAAGAATGGATGAATAATAATGTGATATAACTGAGAAAGAATGGATAACATATTAGTAAAAACTAAGTTGTTCAAGTTAAGTTTTGCCAATACTGAGTTGTTATAACTATTCTTGGGGAAAGTGGGATTCTCATTCAGTTTTCTTTAATGATCTAGCACCAGGTTTAGCCCTAACCCTAACCCTATTTATATTTATCGACCAAAATATGACCATAAACTATGAAAACTCACCCAACAAGGTGTCAAATCTGACTTTTTTTTTTACCTGCAGAATGTACTAGAGTCATATGGGTCCACAGCAACCAACACAAATATCGCCCCCTGCCTTTTGTTGACGGTACTGATACCTCCCCTCTTGTTTCCATAGTGACGTTTGCGTGGGCCAATCGCAGGACGACAGCATCGTGGGGATGAAGCAGTCCAAACAGATCGCACTGCAGCTCTGCCCGTCAGCGGAAACCTCTCGTCGTCAAACCCCGACCTGCTGCAGTCTCACCACCGCATCCTCGACTTCAACAACCAGCCTGGTGAGGATTAACTCCTGCTCTGTGGATATAAAGTGGAGTGTGTGGCCAAAAAACACTTTGTATTCAAACATTAGACTTCATCATGAGAAAATAAGATCTTAAAACGATTATTATGTCCTTCATTAAACGTTTTTCTTACGGCTTATTTGAATTAGCAGCAGGGGAAACATACTCAAACATTTAATGGGTTTTTAACTTACATAAAAAATATATATATATTGTTCCTTTTCCTGGGGACAGTGGGTTTCTCATTAAGCCGTTATTTTAATGTTCAGGTTCATCCCACACATTGATATTTCTGTTCATTGACCTAGATATGTACCCTTAGTACAAATCATCCAGCATTAGGTGTAAAAGGAGAAGATCTTAACATAATGATTATGTTCTGCTGTTCTGGCTCATTTCAGTTAGGAGCATTGGAAACTTTCCCTTACATTTAATGGGCTTTACATGAATAGAATATACATATAGTACCTATATTTGTATCCCCTTTACCTCCTGCTCATCACATGTTCTTTGTGTTCCTCCAGTCCCAGTCGTACCGAGTGAGTATTTCTCTCCCTGTGATCCTGCTTCTTTGTCAACTCCTTTATGTCAAACTCTCATACATACATTTCACACGGCACATATTGATGGTTTTCCCTTTAAATACTTTGGAGATTTTGGGTCCTATGATTGGTGGGGTTGTGCTTCTGATCAAACTAATGAATTACGGATAATAAGGTTTGCGGGTGACATCCAAAGATGGATGCTGGTGATGGATGCTTGCTCAAAGAGAATTCTTGGAAGATGGAATGACTGTTTATTCATCTTGGGGAAACAAAGAAGAAATTACTTAAGAAGCTCATACCTCTCAGTCAAAACAACGCTAATAAGTGAGCATCTGTCCTCATGATGTATTCTTGTCACCCTCAGATATGTCAGATCAGGTGTTGCGAGTCTTCAAGGCGGACCAGCAGTCCCGGTACATCATGATCGGGAAGGACACCACGGCGAAGGAGGTGGTGGCTCAGGCCATCAGGGAGTTCGCTCTGACAGCAGCTCCTGAAGCGTACTCGCTGTGTGAAGTGTCCGTCACTCCGGAGGGCGTCATCAAACAGAGGAGGCTACCTGACCAGCTCTCCAAACTGGCCGACAGGATTCAACTGAGCGGCAGGTAAATACATCTAAAACCGGATCAAATGTGAAATTCTATATCTGTCCCACAGCAGGAACATTCACAGCAAACAGGAAGAATAAATTACGATATCAAACAAAGTGGCAAGCACACATTAATAGAATCAAAATCAAAAGAGTCCACACAGGTAGAATACATGTGCTAAGGTCTATATTATAGTCAGGAATATTGTTTTCTTTCTTCCTTATTCTGATACCTTATAAAAATGTAGATTATTTTAACAAAATTGTGTTGCTTTTCTGTCCAGGACTCCTTCTCAACATATTATTTTAACTCCTAGACTATTCTGGTTAGCTGAAGTTCAAATGAAGTTGGAAAAAAGCTGCAATTCACCATTATTTTCTTAATCAACTAACCTCAATTGATAACTTATTCAATAAAGTGCCAGTAACAGCAATCACATTGTTCAGGGACACAAAGTAGAGGGCTCTAAATTGCTTGATTTGTTCGGCAAACACTTAAATACAACATTTTGTAGTTAAGCATGACATAAAATAGAGAAAATAAGTACATTCTTACGTTAGAATAGCTAAACTAGCAAGGATTTGGCCATTAAAGGTGGGGTAGGTAATTTCGGAGAAACCAGCTCGAGTGCGCTGGAATTTGAAAATACACAGCCGGAAGAAATCTGCTACTTCCTTACAGAGCCCCTCCTCCAACACACACAAACGTGCACATGACCAATGAGGGCACGAGATAAGTTTGTGCACAGATGGAAGGCTGACAGGCAGGTAGGCCATCCAGTTATTTTAGCCGGGCCGGCTCAGATGATTGGTCGTGCTTTTTACAGTACTACGGCTTCCACAGGTGAAATCTTTTTATGGATTTTTTGTCAAAGCACTTAAGATATTCATTGCTATCGGGATGTTAAGAGCATTCCATGGAATATAACAAAAAGTGTATCTCGAGCCGGTTTCTCAAACTTACCTACCCCACCTTTAAGTGATTCATCTGTTGTAGAATTAGTTATTTTTCAGTTAAATTATGCGAACGTTGATATTTTACGGCTGTTGACAGTATTTTCTGATTATGGAGTGATAAAAAGAGATATCCAAAATCCCTTCTGTAAAAACTTTAGATTCTAATATGACTACAAAATGAAACAAGAATGTTGAACCTGACTGAAATGTATTAAATGTATTAAAATATGCGCATATTTAATGAGATTATGGCTCATTTGCAAATGTAAACATGCTATTTCAGAAAACTTGTAATACAAAAAACAATTGTCTTAATGTAAGTAATTAACTGGAGAAATGTCTTGCTGATATCTTTAAGTAAAAAAAAAGTACCCTATTCACCTGTAGTGTCTCGCCTTAAAGAAAGGAAATATAAACCACACCTTTCCCCTCTCTCCAGATACTACCTGAAGAGCAACATGGAGACGGAGACGTTGTGTTCGGACGACGACGCTCAGGATCTCCTGCGGGAGGGCCAGATCTCTCTGCTGCAGCTCAGCACGGTGGAGGTGTCCACGCAGCTCTCCATGAGGGCCTTCGAGCTGTTCTGCGCCATCGAGCCCACCGAGTACATCGACGACCTCTACAAGCTGCGCTCCAAGACGGGCTCGTTCAGCCTGAAGCGCTTCGAGGAGGCCATCAACCACGAGACCTTCTGGGTGGCCACGGAGGTGACGCGCGAACCCAACCAGCTGAAGAGGATGAAGAACGTGAAGCACTTCATCAAGATCGCCCTGCACTGCCGCGAGTGCAAGAACTTCAACTCCATGTTCGCCATCATCAGGTGAGACACGCATATATCTATACAGAGATGGCAAAAGTACACACATCCTTTACTCAAGTAGAAGTACAGATACTTGTATTTAAAAATACTCTGGTAAAAGTAGAAGTACTGACTAAACTTCTTTACTCAAGTAAAAGTAAAGAAGTATGGGCTTTGAAATGTACTTTAGTAAAAAGTACCCATAACTACCAGCTGTTTTAAAGAGTACCTGACCTCCCTTTATATTAATAGAACAATAATGTCATTGTTAGCTAATGAATGTTTCCATGCTGAACAACGGCAACATGACAACGTTTTCATTGGTCCCTCTTCTTTAGAGAAGACCAGGAAATGATGGATACACGGATCGTGTTCAAATCAATAGGCACGCAATGACTCTAAATAATAATGATCACGCCACCAAACACACATTCAAACTAAAGGAACCAGCCTGTTTGGAAAATGTAAGAAGTAGAAAGTACAGGTATTTGTGGAGTATAAAATAAGTAGTGAAGTAAAGTACTGATACCAGAAAAATGTACTTAAGTACAGTAACAAAGTATTTGTACTCCACTACTTCCCACCTCTGGATCTATATATGTGGAGGGAACTGTGCCATTGTGATTTATTTTGGTTATATCAGTGGACTGATACAGGATTGTTATCAACACATTCATTTGAGATTTGATTTTAACCTATTTTGTATTCTTATTTAGTTCTGAGGAGTTATGTGTAACTTATTTATTTGATGAATTCCAAGAAATATATGTTTTTGAACTTGTAAACTAATACATATCAAGGCAAGGCAGCTTTATGTATATAGCCAGTTCAACCACAAGTCAATCACAACATTGTATTACGTCAACATACGAAAAGCATTAGGGAATACAATGACATTTACAGTAAATACATTTTAAAACATTAATTAAAAAGTCAGCAAAACATAATTAAAAGTAAGCTTAAATGTAATAAGACGGGTATGTAATACAATACAATAAAAGTAACAGTGCTATTTAAGATATATTAATATTATTTGATTTTTTTTTTTAAATGCAGTGGCAATCAGAAAAGTATTTTGCCTTGCTATTAAAAAAAGTTAGAGTAGCAACAGACCTGCTGTTTTCTGGTAGTTTGTTCAAGATATATGCAGCTTAAAACCTGAATGATGTTTAGTTTTACGTCTGGGGACAGAGCTTAAATTGGCACTATTTGTTCCCACTCTCATGCTTATTATGTCCCCCCCCCACAGTGGTCTTAACCTGGCTCCAGTCTCCAGGCTGAGGGGAACGTGGGAGAAGCTGCCCAGTAAGTACGAGAAGCTGTTCAGCGACCTGCAGGACCTCTTCGACCCCTCCAGGAACATGGCCAAGTACAGGAACGTGCTGAACAATCAGAACCTGCAGCCGCCAATCATCCCCCTGTTCCCCGTCATCAAGAAGGACCTCACCTTCCTGCACGAAGGTATGGTCACATGATCTCATCTGTCCATATAAAAACATCACACTTACATATGTGTAATTGGTAAAGCTTGCAGTAAGAACCAGGGACTGACAATCAATTTAAAACGTTCTCATTACCATAACATAAGTTATAAATGTCAGTCTTGACATCTTTTTAAGTGTCTTAGGCTGCAGCCACACAAGGACAATAACGGAAACACACCGAAATCGTTATCAAAAAAGTATTCCGTCCACACGCAATAGGCACCAGAAACGTGTCCGTCCACACGAGACAGCTCGAACCGCTGGAGACGCTGTAGTACATATGCCGGGCCTGTAAGTGGCGCTGTACTTCGGCCACAAAATACACCAAAAGCAGCAAAGAAGACTTCTCGCGCATGTCTTCTTCGATTTATTTACCCTAATCATTTTTAAACATGTCAGATGATGGTCCTTACTTTATTTGAACAAACTGCATAGATGTGTATTTGCAGGGCAGTGTTATGTGTTTATTCCGTATTAGTTTGATCAACTGTGTCAAATGTCAGTAATTGACTTTCTTTCTCCCCTCGTTTCTCAGGCAACGACTCCAAAGTGGACGGCCTGGTGAACTTTGAGAAGCTGAGGATGATCGCCAAAGAAATTCGCCATGTGGGTCGCATGGCCTCCGTCAACATGGACCCAGCCCTCATGTTCCGCACAAGGTAAAATAAATCCTTACAATCGAAGCCAGATGTCATATTGAAAAGGATCCATCACCCTCTCTGTAGGTCCTGTCAGCACTCCACTGACTTAGCCGGTTCACGTAGTCAGTCAAACTTTCTGCATCACGCTTCTCTCTCAAGCAGCTGTTCCCTCTGGCAACTGTTTCCTCTGGCAACTGTTCCCCTATACACATTGTTGACGTATAATGTGCACAGTGCTTCAGTGAAAGTGTGTCTTTGTCTAATGATGTGACTTCTTAGTGGTGTAACCATTTGATTTCCTCTCTACTGACTTTCACGTGGGTCAAATTTCTCTTTTTGGTGATCTTGGTGGTCTTTCCTGTCCTAAGCTTTGTCTCTTTCTCTCTCGATTCATCCACCCTTTGCCCCTCCATGCTTCTCTGTTCATGGCACCCACCCTCTAGGAAGAAGAAATGGAGGAGTTTAGGGTAAGTTTGGTGACCCTATGACCTTTTGCCCTCCCTGCACCACGGTTTCTTTTTTCTGCCAATTTGCTTGCTTCTTTTCTTCTTTTCTCAAACCTTATTAACTGGTTAGAGTTGAATCCTCTATCTAACACTGCCTGGCCCTAACCAAAGGGCATTGAAGGAAACAAAGGTCACATTATGCTAGCATTTGGTCACACTGGACTATTTTACTTTAACCCTCCTGTTGTCTTCGGGTCAAATCTGACCGATTTACTACTTTCATCAATCATTACTTTTTTGTTTTAGAGTCGATTGCATTAAGGCTTTATGATATCCTTCACAGTAGACATTTGAACATATACAATTGCTGATCACCACTTTCATTGAATTTTGGATGATTTAGTCAACTTTGTAACACCCATGGTGTTCCCCGGTCAAAAATGACCGCCATAAAGAAAAGGAATTAGTAACCATCCAGATCAGATAAAACACACACACAAACACACACACACACACACACACACACACACACACACACACACATAATCTTATGTGCCCAATCCCCCCATGTGAATCACACCTGGCTCACGCAATACATGTTCAGTGTCTGTTCTTTGTATATGTACTGCAGTTGTTCATGTATACCAGTAGTCTGATACAATATTTACAGTTTGAAAGGGTGTTAAATGACATTTGGTGATGATTAATGGTTTTTGTGTTAATGTAATAGCAGTTAAAACAGGACCGGTCAAATTTGACCGCGAACACCAAAGTAAGGGGGGGGGGGGAACGAAGACAATAGGAGGGTTAAACATACTGTAAATTAGACACAAATGATTGGGAAAACACACAAAAATGTATATATTTTCTGTTGGATTCCAGTCGTATGTTAGCAAATGTGACCTTTCTTGACATGTTTATCTAACAAAATGCATGCAGCTTCATTTTCAAAGTTGTACTTGTTTTTGAGGTTTCATCTGTATGTTAAAGCTCCAAACTGCCACATATTCTGGATATAAAACATTTTTATCATCATGCTTTACATTCCTGTGGTCGAATGGGACATCGCTGTGAATTTACGGAGACATATAACGGGAAACAGATGGGAAGCACATTGCGCTCACTAAAGGAACACGTTTTCTGGTAATTATGAATTCTGTGTCTCGTAATTATGACTCAGGGTCTTGTAATTAGGAGAAAGGCATCTTGGAATTACAAGATCTGTATCTTGTAATTGTGAGAGTTTTTCTTGTAATTATGAGACCTTAATCTCGGGGAATGTGAGGTGCTATAGTAGGGTTACAATTACAAGATCAGAAAGCAGTACTTGTGTGCATTTTTGGAACTGAGCATCTATATATATCTTAGAGAAATGATATGTTTTGATAGTCAGTGTCTCTCAGAAGCATTTTAAGAATATCCATAAAAGAAACAATAAAGAAAATAGATATGTGTCCACTGATGAGAACAAATCTAACTATTGTTTTGTTGTCTTTCTTAATGAGACCATGTGCAAGTAAAGCTTTTACTACCACTACTACTACTACGAGCTGACTCAGGCCACAGAAATGTAAACTATGAGCGTGCTACACTAGCAGAACTCCCCCTCTCTACTCCCCCGTTGTTTGACTACAGCCTCCCTCCCTCACCCCCCCGCCCCCCTCTGCTGTCTGGAATGACTGGAATGTTTTGCAGTGGAGAGAAATACCTAAAACTGCTCTGTGCATGTCCAAGTTTAAACACCAGCCCTGTAATAAAACCTGTACATTATACTTCACTACATGCTCATTCACAGACTATTCTAATAAGTCTCCTTTTATTCTTTTCTATGTGTTTTATGTTCATGTTTCCGTGTGGGTGCACATGCATAGGTCTCTAAGCCAGGGTAGTGCCAATGCGGCGGTGCTGGACGTCACGCAGACCGGCGGGCACAAGAAGAGGGTGAGACGCAGCTCCTTCCTGAACGCCAAAAAGCTTTACGAGGACGCGCAGATGGCCAGGAAGGTCAAACAGTACCTGTCCAACCTCAGCCTGGAGACCAACGAGGAGAGTCTGCAGACGCTCTCCATGCAGTGCGAGCCCTCCATCAGCACACGTGAGTTTGTGACACGAACTAACAGACACATGCAAGAAAGATTTAATGTGACTGGTCGTCCTCCACTCGGAAGGTCGCTGGTTTCATCCCCAGCCTGTGCAGTCAACATCTCGATCATATCTGATACTTAACCCTAAATTGCTCCCAATAGTGTGTGAGTGTGTGTGGATGTAAGTCTCCCATGAGCAGGTGTATATCAGCCTCTGCCTCTGTATGAATGAGTGAATTCTGACTTGTATGCAAAAGCACTTTGAGGTGTTGCAAAGAGTGGAAAAGCGCTATATAAATGCAGCCCATTTACCATCTACCATGATTATAATGTATAAGATAAACTCGTACTGTCTCGTCTCCCAGCAGAGCCATTATTTCTGGATTATAATTAGAGTTAAATGTTGATTACTTGATTTTGTTGAGGTGCATATTTCTCTGGAGACGTTTGTGTGTTCCCAGGATTCAAAGCAGACACAGACAGGGTGGAGTAACAGGACACTCAGTCCGCCTTTAAGACTCATTGGCAGTGAATTAAAATGACTGAATCGCTACGCCAGTTCCCCGTTGTTAATGCCAACTTCACTGGCTGCTAATGCATACACAGAAAGAACAGCTTTGACTATCAAACACCAGCCGTTTTCTTAAACTTCACAGAAAATTCCTGCCTTCTCGTATGTCCTTTTACCTGCACATTTTATATTGAGACCTACATTCTAATTCTAACTGTGTAATGGGGATTTGCTCGGTCTTTTTTCCGCTACCCAGTGCCCAAGAACGCCGGTGGGAAACGACCAGATACTTCCCCGGTGGTGTCCCGAGCGGCCAGCCAACAGAGGGGCCAGCTGGCCAAGGGGGGCCAGGCCCTGCAGGTCCCCGCCGTGGCCCTCTACCCATCCCGGAAGAAAGTGCCAGTCAAGGATCTGCCGCCTTTTGGTAAGTGGATGTCAATCTTTAAGAAGCCCGGAGTACAAAAATGCATTTTGAATGTGTACCTACTGTATACCTAAATCTTTCAAGCAACTACATTTTTTTTAAATATTAGAACTAGCACTTTTTTTGATGCCATTGAGAGGTATTTGTATCGAGAAATGTGTATGAGTGTATTTGTAAGTGTAATGCATAGGAAGATTGTCCTTTAATATCATTACATTTATAAAAATCTGTGAGATATGTCCACAGCAGGGGCGGATCTACGGGGGGGGGCAGCTGTAGAGACTTGCCCCCCCCCAGCTGCCCCCCCTAACTTTTGTGTCCCTAAAACTGTACTTGTAGAAACAAACCTTCACTATGTCCACAAGCTTCTCAAGAAACGAAACAAGCAGTTCATTCATTAAAAGTGAATCATTTTAAATATCATCTTCGGCCCGTTAAAAACGCAGCTACGGCCCTGCATTAAACTGCGGAGCGGCGTTCACACAGACCGCGGCTCACACACAGCTGCAGAGAGACCGAGCTGTCCCAGCACCTGAAGGCGGATCAGCTTCCCCTGGGAGCATTTCCCCTTCCACTGGTTTTGTTTTTCATAAGGACGAGAGCTTGAAACAAAATATTAATAAAACGCTGCTGTTTGAATCGATAGCGTTTAACAGACGATCGCTGTTTGGGGCGTTACGTTACAAAATACTACGCAGACAGCGCTAGCTGGGAGATCGATCACTTTATTTGCTAAACTATGCGGTACTATTAAATCCACGTATATTACACATCACAGCCATGAGGCCAGATACATGAAACCAGGATACATCCTTTACCGTCAAACTGGGTCTAAACGCAGCTGCCTGTGTGCGCTTGATAAATACTTTCTGATTTTACATTTATTATAGGCTATGCTACTTATTAGCTACATGGCCCTAACGGGTAAAGTTAGACAAGCATTTGTACCAGTGCTTTTCACAAGTAGACTCTTGCAGGCCAGAGTAGCTGGAGTGATTCAACAAGAACACAAAGACATATCTGAGAAGTGATCAGGACGAACAGAAAGAGGAAAAGGAAAAGAGAGATGAAAAGACCAGGAGGGTCAGAGCAGGAGGAAGAGGAGGAGATGAAGAGACCAGGAGGGTCAGAGCAGGAGGAAGAGGAGGAGATGAAGAGACCAGGAGGGTCAGAGCAGGAGGAAGAGGAGGAGATGAAGACATTAGTGAAGAAGAAGAAATGTATGTGAGTAATAAAGAGTAAGTGTCAGAAAGAGGGACAGAGGCAGGGGTCAGGAGGCAGATGAGACTCCAGCTGGACCACATGGTATGTTCTTATTCTCCTCACATCTTCCATCACAGCAGCACAATCTAGCAGCTCTTAGTATTGACACATATTGAAATGTGTTGCTGCACAGGTCACCTTTAGCTCTCTGAAGAGATGGGTGATGTCATGTGTGTACTTAATTATAAGTACTTTTACTGTACTTACAGTAAACAGAGTTCTAGGGTATCATGAGTATTGAGCTGTTTTATACTATATTTTAGTTTGTCTGAACACCTTGTTTCTCTTGTGCATTGAGAACACTTGTGTTAGGGCATGATTTAACAATAAATAGGTTATACAGTATAAAATACCACGTACGGTCCGCCCTCCCATGCCACCCTGGCATGACCTCTTGCCCCCCCATGTAACATTTTCTAGAACCGCCACTGGTCCACAGAGTTCTATATTCTCTTATATAATAGTGTTTGGCAGTGTTGTATTGTGGTGTAAGCCTTTATAAATCTCCTGTTCCCTTGTCCTTTTATGTGCCACCATTGCCCAGTTTCCTCTCCCTCATCCTGTTATTTGCAGACAATAGCAGAACCAGCTTCTTTATGACAGTGCTGCCACCTAGAGGCCGTCTGACCAAAAACAGCTAATACAAAAAAGAAAAAGTCCCAGACAATGCAGTGGAGCGGCTCGCTGCGGGGAATGGCAGAGCTCCTCATGCTAATTCTGCTCATCTTCTTGTAAATGTCCACAGGCACCAGCTCCCCTCAGTCTCTGAAGAAGATCCTGTCTCTGTCGGAGGAGGGGAACGAAAGGCACCGGAGGCAGCCAGAGGACACCGTGTCCAACGCCTCCTCCCAGCTCTCCTCCCCTCCCACCTCCCCACAAAGCTCGCCCAAGAAGGGTAAGCCAATAATCCTTCCCCCCTCCCTCCTACACCATCTTCATGATCCTTCTTTCTGTCACCATGGGCCACACATGCCACCTGGTGGTTGTCAGTATGCACTGCAACATGTTTCAGATAGTGTGTTGGGCAGTAGGACTCAGTCTGAAATATTTCATCCCACTTTAAACCACTGCAGCAGTACAAACTAGTCAGGATGTTTGATTGAATGTAGGTAACACTATTATAAGCCTTAATACCTGTGTTTTAAGTTGTAAGGCTAATGGTTCTAGGTTTAAGGCAACAGCCACATTGTTGGCAATAACTGGTTATACTACTTTTAACTGGTTATACTACTTTAAACAGCATTTGTTACAACTCCTTTGACATTTCACCATGTTTACTAGAAATGTGTCTTTGTTAGCTCATGATACTGGACAGATAGGGAAAGTTGAACAAAGCAGTTAACAATAAGAGTATCATGTAAACTAGAATGACAGTAGGAGAGCGCAGAACTCTGTGAAGATTATTTCCACAAAGTAAAACAAATATGTCCTGTATGCAGCTTGCTTGACCCTGTGATTTGAATCCACTCTGAAATGAATTATTTCTTGACTGTCTTGAAATCGGCACAGTAGTGTTTCTGTAATCCAGCTGACTAAGAAATGAAAAAGCTATATACAGTATACTTTAAAGTGCCAAATGCAGACAGTTATGAAGTCAAATAACCTAAACATATTGATGTTTGAATACCATAAATAGAAAAACATGAAAGGTACATAGTGCTCTGCTGCAAAAAGAGTGGTAAGCATTCATCATTTCTTGATGAAACCAACTCTCGAAGAACTGGATGCTTTGAGAACTTTCTGATCTGTAACTGGTTCCTACATTATCTTAGAAACTGTTTCCTCATGTGAGTGTACGTGTCCCCTCTACAGTCCGAGTTTGATTTGCATGTGGTTTTCTAGTGACTCATGTTGGAGCCACATCATTACAATTAAGACTTCCTAAAAATCATAATTAAGACGTTCTTTTTTTTGGTCAGACTCGGTAATTCAGACAGGAGTGGGGAGGTGATTGAGGTGATTTATGCTGATGGAGGCGAAGGAATACAACACATTCCACAGTGACAGTTGTCTATAACTTGAAAATGTGTCTTTACATGTGTCAGCGATCATAACCAGTGATTTCCTTATATTTTTCCAGACATTATTATGTAATTCCCATTCCCTTCACGCTTATTATCTAAACTTTTCCACACTCTTCAGCACTTTTCCCTAAAGAGCTGCTTGGCTTATTTGGAAAAAATGAACTCTACAATTACCCTGCAGTCTGTGTGACGGCTTGTTTCAAAACACTGACTGAGACAAGATATGTGAATTAAAGATGATTTATGATGACGGATGAAAAACAGTTGATCCACCATAAGTTAGTTTAATGTTGGGAGCTTTGTGTTGGAATGAGACCCAGTCAGCATGCATGAGAGGGCTTTATCGTGCTTTTATTTAGAACAAAATGGAAGTATTTCATGCTACTTTTTGCAACAAAGGTAAATCAAACGGACTAAAGTACATATGTTAAAGGTCCCCTATTATACTGTTTTTCATCAATATATTATCGGTCTCAGATATATACAGAACATGTCTCTGAAGTGTTTGGCTCCAAACACCAAACAGATCATTGCAGCATTACCCATAATCCCCTCTGTTTCAGCCCTGTTTCAAAAGTGCTGATTCTCTGTCTGTTACTTTAGATGAAAATAAGGAGCCCCTCCCCACGCCCCTCTGAGAGATATTTGGTTAAAAAGAACACTATGGTGCTCTAGGAGGAGATTCAGGTGATAAGGTGGGGGGGGTTACCTTGGTTGGTGATTGGCTAATGGTTAAACAAGCCAAAAAATCGTTATGACATCATAAAGTGGCCAAAATCTGATCAGCTCATTTTCAGACAGGTTTTTATATAAATGGATCAGGACAAAAAGAGAGAGAATATTTGTTCCTGAAACTTTCAGAGTCTCTTTCCACAGAGGGGACACATGTTGATGTAGAAGAGACATGAAAAAGTGGATTTTGCATAATAGGTGACCTTTAAGTTGAACGTTTTTAACAATTCCTTTCCTCTTCCTTCTCCTCTCCTGCAGGCTACAACGCCTACTCGGACTCCGGTCACAGTGAGATCTCCTCTCGCTCCAGCCTCGTCAGTAACTCCTCCTTCGACATGGCGCAGGACGAGAGGAGGCTCCGTCACTCTGGAGTCGGGGAATCCAACATCGTGGGACAGCGGCTGGAACGAAGGGCGACAACCGACCCCGACCAGTACAGCCTCGGGTACGAACATTAGGAGTTTTCATTTGAGGTTTAGTTCAAAATAACAGCGGAGTTTCAGATATTTGTTTATAAAAGCTAAAACAAATGCACAAATAGAAAGTAGATGAGGAAAATGTTTTGGTAGGACTAGAATAGGTTTTCGTTAAAGACATTATATTTGGTTTTTCACAGTAACAATTACTCTTAGTTTAAATAAACAGTTTGTAAAACCCGGCCCCTTAGTAACTGTTGCTGGGATTGTCAGTGTAACATTTTATTTATATAGCATTTTACCGCTTGATTTCCGCCTAGACAGACAAAAACATCTGTCTCTTTTCAGTCAGTTGAGTTTTATTTTGTATGAAACACAGTTAAGCAAGTACCCTGTATGGCAGCTTCTGCTTCTGTGTGATTGGGTGAATGCTGACTTATATGTAAAGGTGGTTTGAGGTGTTAGTAAAACTGAAAACACGCTAAATATATGCACTCCATTAACCATTTTATTGATCTGCCCTACAAGTTAAGTAATTATCTTTATTTGTATCCCCTCTCAGGTCATATTCATCGATGCAGGACTGTCGGGGCATTTACTCCGGCTGCCCCACGGTGCTCTCCTCCCCCAGCTCAGAGGAGCTGACCCAGGATCAGGGCGATCGAGTCTCCCTGGACGCTGCAGACAGCGGGCGTGGCTCCTGGACGTCCTGCTCCTCGGGTTCCCACGACAACATCCAGACCATGCAGCAGGGCCGCAGCTGGGAGACTCTGGCCTTCGGTGGGGGCGGAGGAGGGGGGCTGCCTCCTGGAGGTCCGGAGGCCCTGTTAGGGGGGCACGCTGCTCTGTGGGCCGCCCAGGCCAGGGGCAGCTGGGCTTCCGCTAGCTCCTCCTCCTCCTCAGCTGCGTACTGGGGGGAGGACTCTGAGGGAGACACCGGCACCATCAAGAGGAGGGGGGGGAAGGACGTGAACGCCGACGCAGAGACGAGCAGCATCACCTCCACCGGCTCAGAGGAGGCCAAGCACCTGGGCCGGCCCTCCCCGTCACCCATCACCACCGGGGGGAAGGGACTGCTGAGTGAGTGACCAACCTAACAGTCCTGCTTCTTTGAATAAGTCAAGTTTTTAATTGAAGGAAAACATTTTAAGTACACAGTATTTTTATCACAGAAGAAAGGGAAAGTCTAGCAGCAAAAACTGTAGGGAGAATACTGTGTAAAGACAACATGAAGGCACAATGTATCCCATAAAACCACAACGAGACATTTCTAAACTCATTTTTTTTAACAAACAAGAAACAATGTTTTAAATTGTGCAAACATTTTTGCAGGATGATTTATTTGTTATATTCAACAGGCATTTGAAAAAGCCATGAATTCCTCCATGAGGCAATATGTTGAAATCATTCAATCAAGACATAGTGGATTTGAATGCAAAAGAGCTAGAACAAATTGTCCCTCTGGTTTCCTGGGGTTTTTAATATGCCGACCATGCCCATGTACCACAGACCTTTGTTCCATTTAATCCCTCCTCATTTCCTGTCATTATCTATCACGATTTACCCAACCAGTCGAGGCAGGGAGGAATATTAAGTTGTTAGGGTTACAGAGAGTTTCTAAAGTACAGTTTAGCCTTCCTCTAAAATAAAAAACCGTTGTTATTATCTATCAAGCTATATATATATATATATATATATATATATATATATATATATACTGCCCCTTAAAGACAGTTTTTAAGTTCCATCATTGTTGCTTTTGTGTCCCTCCAGCACGGAAAGAGAGTCGTTACCGCGAGCCCCCCCCGACCCCCCCCGGCTACACGGCCCTCACCATCTCCGACCTGGCTGACGGGCAGCACCCCCCCCCAGCTGTCCCCGCGTCCACGGCTCCGCACACAGGCCGCCGGCCCCCGGACTACTCCACGGCTCTGCAGCGCTCGCGCATGGTCACCCAGTCGCCCGACTCCCACCAGGCCCAGCAGGGGGCCAAGCAGCGGGCGGGGGGCCTCCACCGCACACGCTCACCGGCCGAGGAGCAAGAGGCTCAGGAGGAAGAGGAGGGTGAGTCCTTGTCTTCCAAACTAGTCGCTCTGAGGAAGCCAAAGCCACAGCGCACACGCGAGACTCCCAGGCTCTGAGAGTGTGTGTGCGGGGGTTAACAGGCAGGGCCCCTCTCCCCAAGGCAGGTAAAAACTCATTTATCAGGTTGCCCCCCCCCCCCCCCTCTCTCCACTCCGATGAACCTGCATGTGATCAGGGACACACACCTGGACTGAGACTCACCATTCCTTCACACACACACTTCCCACAGTAGGATCGGTCCCTCTCCAAATCACAATTCCCTGTTAAAATTAAAAACGTAAATGTATTATTTATGACCTGGGAATTGTTCCTCTGGAGTGGGACCCTCACCTTTAACCCACAATGTGTCATCATGCATGAGTCATACGGTGGGCCTGGTTCTCTCCACCACACATCCTGCTCTCTCTCCGTCACACACACTGTGCCGAGTAGCCTCCATCAGCAGGCACAGTGCTGATCCTCACCATGCAAACTGCCTGAAACATGCACCCCCATCCTCCTCCACCCACCCGCACGCACCCCCCCCCCCCCCCCCCCACTGCAGAGACTCTGGATGATCCTGCATCATGTAGAAGCACTCTTTATACACACAGGTGTCTCGTGTTTTACCAAGGATATCACACTCTGATCAAATCAGAATCATCAGAAACAGAATTGTTATTTATCCCATGGGAAATGTTGTTTAGTGACAATAACGTTTAAAAAAAGATAGATAAAAAATGTGTATATTAACACAAGAAGTTAAAGTAGGAAGTATAAAAAGAAAATAAGACATATTTGTATATGATTGATTTAAGAATCACCAAATAAAACCCTTCAACAAAAAACAACATTAATCTACACTAATAAAACAAGGCTATTTTTTATTTTTGGTCCTTTGACTGACAAATGTTTCATAGTTTAGCTGTCCACAGTCCCTTTAGAATACATTAAATAAGTAGTAAACATATTGTATAAATCAAAAGGCGCTTGCAGAGAAATAAAGACATGTTTCTACCGACTAGGTGGTTCATTTCAGTGCATGGAAATCAAATCGTAACAGACTTCAAATTGATAACACATGCATTTTGTAAAACTTTATAAGGCAATCTGTATACACTACCCTTCTGTTAATATACAAGAAAATACATAAAAGACCACATGGGTTAATATAGCTGAGAAAATATGTGGCCAACAAAACATCTGTCATCATCTGTTAATGAGCCGCGTATCTTAAAAGACAGAAGAAAAATGTCTATAAGTGAAGTCAAAATGATAATGGAAATGTTGCCTCTAAAGAAAAGACGTCCCAGGGAACCTCAAAAGAAAACCAGAGTGATATATTTGATGCTATTTGATGAGTCAATAATATTAAAAATATGTCACTGTAAGTTGATTTTCACATACTGACATAAACCCTAAAGCAGCGGTTCCCAACCTTTTTCAACTCAGGGCCCACTTAAGAATCAAACGTTTTTTTCGCGGCCCACATTCAACCATAAACAATACGGAGGCTAAATAAAGTTCTGATTGGTCAATTCAGAACATGTGACAAGTTGTTAATCCAATAGTTGTTACAGTCAAGGACTGTAATGACCGTTGCTAAGGAGGATCAAGAAAGAGAAAGGAAAAGAGGTTCAAATATGAAAAAATCTTAATAATGAAATGTTTCCACACAAATCATAATGTTTTGCAAATTATTTGGCGGCCCACTTGCAATGCCTTCGCGGACCACTAGGGGGCCGCGGCCCACAGGTTGGGAACCGCTCCATTTCATTCTAACTCAACACTGCTGTAGTTCCTCTTTAGATTTCACCTTTCACTAAAGTGCACACCTCTCACTACTTTTGTAACTTTAAAAGAGAGTTCATACTCTGCACGTCCACATTAGAAGTAACCTTTCCTGTCTCTCTCCACAGAGGATGAACAGGTGTCAGCGGTCTGAGGGACAGCGGACGTCCTTCTGCAGTAAACTGAAGTCCCCCTGGTTTTGGGGTGGGGGGGCAGGATTTAAGAGACTGACAGACCAATGGACTATTCATCATCAGTTACGTACGTGCCTGCCTCCTCCACTCGGCTCTCCCTCCTGATTGGTGGATTCCTCTGCTCGTCTCCCTCCCCTGCCTTAAAGCATCATCGGGGGTTGACTGACCCTGCATGCAAAAAATACTGTGAAGAAGAGAAGGAGAGAAAAGGACGAGGACAAAACGCCTGGCACTTTGGATAAAAAGACTACAGAAATAAAACTGGTGCTGGGAGGAGGGGTCGACCTGCCCCCCCCCCCACACACACACACACACACAAACACACACACACAGATGTTGCTGTGGGAGAGAGACAAACACAACACAACAGCATCATGACGTGTCGAACTTAATCTGCACTTTGTCATTTTCTACTTTCGGAGAAACAGAACAAATAAAAACAAAGCAGACTTGAGGAAACACCTTCCCGTTAGATTTCATTTCCTTTTTTTGTGTTATTTTCTCGGACTGATTGCACTCTTGGCGGCCGAAAAAATTTGAAACTGAGTTGGCCCAGGACTGAAACAACCCATCTTACGAGTGTTTTGAACTCTGCATCAAGTATTATCACATGTGAAAGCTTATCAAGTGTTGGTTTGTAAATCAAAGCTGGGAGGAGAGCCTGGTAAAGAAGAGCCAACATGCACAGTGTACTGACAAACACACACACACACACATACACACATTTTTAAAAACAGCACTTTCAGCACAATCCTAGATGTTACCAGACATTTGGCCCGAGTGAATCATATCTGCGGAGCTCCTTTTGGTCGTATCAAAGTCTTTTCCCTCATCCTGTTGCTTGCTCCAGAGTATAATGTTTTCTGTGGGTGATATCAAAAAGCACAGAGGACATTGAACCCCCCCACGGAAAGATGAGCGGACATGTTGGACTCCATCAGAGGAGAGAATGATGATTTAACCCTGGAGGTTTTGCCCAAATGAAATGGAGCCTGGAAGAAAGTGAATCAAAACTGTGAGCCGTTAGCGAGCGCTCACTGACTTTAAGAAAAGTTGCCTCTCCTTCCTTTATTTTGGCATTAAGGGATCACACATCAGCATATTTCAGAAGCTGCCAACGTGTACAATTGTGAGTGTACCTCTTAACTATCTACCTTGTTACAGATGATCTTGTACAGAGTCTTATAACACACCCTTTGAGAAAAGAATATCCACAAATTTGGCTTTTTTTCTTCTTCTCCCTGAACATAATGCCACATTTTGTGAATGTCCAAAGCGCCTTACGATGCCATGATTGCATACATTTCTTTGCATGGTCGTTCCCATCATCACCTTGTTTCAGGAGCAGTCTTGAATCAAGCAATAGTGGAGTGAAATGCCTTATTCAAGATACAACCCAATTCAAGAGACTTTTTGTGAAGACTCAGTACAAGATGAAGCCAAGCATTTTGTTTCCGTGTTGTTCTCCGCGTGGCTTCAGACTGTGGACACCTCTCCCTCTGCGGTCCCTTCAGAAACTCATCCTCAGAATCTCCTCTCCGTTACATCGGCTCAGTGGACGCTGTATGTAAATCACATTTCCTGCATCCAGTTTTCCACTTTTGGAAGTGACTGATTTTTTTTAATTTTTTTGACTCCGGTGAGGAAGTTGACATATGAAGAAAACTTTTTTCAAGGCTGCCAATCAGAACGATCGTGAATCCAGTTGTGAAAAGTACCGTTGTGTTTTCTTCCACACTGAGTCGCGCTGATCACATTGATCAGTCTCGGAAACTACAGACTGAGAAAAAGATGAATGAGTGTTTCCCACTGTGGTCTGTGACTATACACTAATGATTTCCTGGGTTTCCCTTTTTTGTTATCGTAATTCTTTTTGTAATGGCTGCAGATAGATTGTTAATAATTTGTTTGTAATACAGTGGTGACATGCATCATTCACTTTCATCGAACTCTGAAGATAATGTGCATATTAGCGGGGCCGAGGCCTATTTCTAAAAACTAAAAGTTGCACAAAAATGTACAAGCGTAAAGATAAGTGTAGTAGGTAGAACTGCTACTCCGTTTGGTGTGTGATGTCAGTGAGAAATGTACATTTAGCTGGTGATGACCTTCTTTTCTTCATTCTTTCTTGTACTACTTTGACCTGTATGTCTTTTAAAAAGACAATTGGTGGAGTACGTATCAGTTGTTTTTGTATTTTTAATACAATAATTGTAAATATTGGTTATATTTTTGTTCAAATGTACTATGTTTATGCCTCAACATCCAGTTTATATGAAGCTGGGAATCAATAAATACTGCATAAAGAATCAACACATAGGTTTAAATGCACTTATTCATTTCTTCTGCATTTCGATGTCTTTCTTTTTCCAATTCCTTTCTTTCCTTCAGAGGATTTCTCCCCGGATACCGTCTAGTGTTTGCACAAGTCATGGAAGCAACTTGAAAAGTGTAACTCTCATACTTTTCTATCTGACCGCAGTGTGTCAGAATTAATAAAAAAGAGATATTGAAGTCTTCTCTCGCTTTTATTTACTTGTTTTGTGTTGTCTTAATATCCAGAGCTGTGAGAACAGTGCAAGTCCCAACTCTCATTTTCTACTATTCTTTATTTATTTCGTTTCTTACAAGGTTCAAGGTTCTTTATTTTGTCATACGAACATAGCTACAGAGTAGTTATGCCGATGAATATCTTAGGTCACAGGCTTCTCCAACAGTGCAACACAATAACACAGATACACAGAAAACTATAGTGCAAGTAAATAGTAATACAAAAGAAAAATAGTTTAAAAAAAAGTGAAATAGTGAAATAATAGTCTATATGCAAGTTATTGGAATGATATATTAGATAAATAGATAAATAATTACTAAGTAGCAGATGAATGTTATGGATGTTGTTTCAACAGTTCAGGTGTTTACATTACATGTTTAATTTAATAACTAGAATGACAAGTGCAGACCTCCTTCAAGACCAATGGTGCATTCAGGTGCTTTTTTGATTTGTGTTCTTAGGTCTTATTGTGGATACGACATACATGTGTATCTGTGAAGAAGATGTTTTTTTTTGTATTGCTCTTGTTGTTAAAACAACATGCTTATATAGGTAAGCTATTAATCCGATTTGAAGAACGTTATGATTCTTTATCGTCGGGAAATTTTTTTTTCCAATGAATCTGACACCCCAGATAGCAAGCGGATGTGGCCCACTTCAGGCAATGATGCGGCACTGCTGGCCTTCTTTTGGCCCGGACCAAATGGATGTGTGCCTAAAGTGGCCCACTTGTAAAATAGCAAATATGGCCCACATATCCCAAAGCAAATGTGGGCCTTTTTTGGCAAAGATGCGGTGCTCCTGCAATGTGTAATCTGGATGTCACCCTAAAGTGGCCCATGTGGGAAATGGTGAATGTGGCCCAAATATCACAAAACAACTGTGGGCCACCTTTGGCAAAGATGTGGCAGAATGGACAAAGGCTAATCTGGGTGTAAACCAAAAGTGGCCCATATATGATGAAGCAAATGTGGCCCAGTTATCTTAAAACATATCTAGGCCAGTTTAGGCAAAGATGCGGCACAGTAATCCGGATGTAAACCTAAAGTGGCCCACATTTGACATGAAAAATATGGCCCAAATATTAAAAAACAGACGTGGGCCACTTGTGGTAAGGATCCAGCACAATTGGTACCGGCAAATCTTGATATGAGCCTGAAGTGGCCCACAACTGATGCAGCAAATGTGGCCCGGTTATCTTAAAACATATCTGGGCCACTTTTGGTAAATATACGGCACACTTTTGGCGAGGATGCAACACTTTTGGCACAGGTTAATCTAGATGTGAGCCTGAAAAGGCCTACATGTGACATATAGTATAAATTGTGGATTGGACTGCCGTGTGATCCGAGATCGGGTTAGGGTAGGGGTCAGCAACCTTTACTATCTTAAGAGCCAATCTGCCCTCATTTCCATCAAATAAATGTTGTCTGGAGCCGCAAAACATATTTATACTACACTATACTTCATTCTATATGTACAAAAACTAAAGTTTGTTGCATTTATAAAATTATAGAACGACTATAAAGAGAACTCTTGACATGTGTGTATTTACCCGTTAAAACAAATCAAATCAACAAACTCTTATGAAAAGAAAGTTTGCAATAAATTATACACATTATACAGAACTTTCTGCATATTTGTGAAATATTAATAATAATTAATTTAATATTAATTAATAATCACTTACAAAAGTATCAAACTTATTTTACTGAGACTTTTCTTATTCTTAGTAAGTAAAGAGAAACATTAATCCAGGGTTAGCTCACTGAGCCGCTCTGGAGACAGATGTGACGTGTATTTCACTCATCGTAGGCCGGATACTCAAACTCTTTTTTACTTTCAGTGTCACAGTATCACCTAGATGTTTGGATTCAAACCCAAACCACTGTGGCTAACATGGTACGTGCTATATGTGTAAGCAAACACACAGAGATAATGTAATGTGAATCTCGCAATCTATGACCATTATTGTTTTGGGGGGGGCTTTAATGTGCTTCTAAATGGCAATCTTGTTTTTATTAATATACAGTTGCTCTTGCATATGCTATAGTCAGTTGACTTACTATGTTTTATATTGTGTAAGTGAAGTGTCTGAGTGATTAGGTTCAGACTTGTGAAGTTCACTGTTTTATGGTCTTGATCTTTGAATGTATATTTGGTTGAGATAATTTGGAGTTGCTGTATGTGCAAAACTTGATTGCAAATGTCTTCTTGGGACAATAAACTGTGCCATATAATATGGTATCAACGAGCCAAACTGGGTGCTAACAGGCCATGTGTGATCTAACTTCTAGATTGCTCCACAAGTGTGGGTTGGAAGTGCGGGAAGCAGGGGATTCAAATGCAGTCAGACAGGCAGACTGAAGCAGTGCAATGATTTATTGTAAATTAGTTTACGGCAGATGCAAGTAGGCAAACAGGCAGGCAGGTGAACGGGTAACGGGTAGATAGACAATATGCAGGGAGGTAAGCAGGTTCTGGTCCAGGATCGGGTGACAGAAGTTCAAAAGCAAAAACTCAAGACAGCTATATAGCAGCTGGAATGAAAAGACAAAGAAAAAAGGATCTTGACCGGTACATGTAGTGAGTGGCTGATGAGAGAAGTGAGAAAAGGTGAGCAGGGGAATGATGAAGTCTGGTGAAAAAGTCTGAGGGCATCAGATCGCTCGAGGATGGCAGGTCTAGGGAGAAAGTTCATGGCCTGGGAGGTGAGCAGGGGCTTGAGACAGGGACAGATCGTAAAGCAGAGGGCAGAGGATGAGAGAGTGTGGCTGGAGGAAGGGACTTGGAGGCAAACTGTGACAATTTTTTGATCCTGAGGGTGACATTCTAACACCAATAAATACAAAATAAAACAATGTTTTAATTTGTCTTACATTTGGGTTAAATATTGTCATTTAAATAACTATTATCATTTTTATTAATAATGAATAACAATACATTTCTTAAAGAAAACAGTTATTAATATGTTTTTCTGACATTAACTTTTTCATCCCATATTTAAACTATGCTGCATTCGTGGGAACTAGGAAGTCCCAATTTTGAGTTGGAAAAAGCCGATGAATAGCCTTCAAGTTCTTTGTTAGAAATACAGATTTATTTTCTTTTTTTGTTCAAATCAAATCAAATATTTTCAATACTACTATGGGTCTTAAGCCCTATTGTATTTGTAGTTGTATCTTCTTGCTGTCTTGTGGTTATGTATCCGTGGGAATTAGTATAACTTCAAATTGGAGTTCCCATTTCCGGGGTCTTTTGAACGCAGCATATCTGACTTGAAGCAAGCGCGAAAAAAAAGCGCCATAGAGACCGAAGTCAGTTGGAAGGATTGTCGGTGGAAAATAGAGATGGCAAATCCGGATCCTTTTATGGACTCAGGGTCTTCTGAGTCAGTCATTGAAGAGATCCGGATCATACGAGTCATTTTAGTCATATGAGTCAGCATCACCAAGACCGTAGAAATCCTATCGGTGAAACCGAAAAGTTGATGCATTTCACGAGCATATTATTATTCCATATATTTTGAATATATATATATATTTGTATATATATATATATATATATATATAATATCTGCATGTATATTTTCTATTTCGACATGTATATTTTATATTTTATTTTCTTTTTCTTTCTATTCTTGTATATTTTGTAGTTTTGTTTTATTGTAAAATGCCTTTTATGCTGCTGTAACAACAACAATTTCCCAATTTGGGATCAATAAAGTACTATCTATCTATCTATCTATTAAACTGACGTTATATTAACCTCCGCTACACAGTGTATTTTGCTTTAATAAAAAATGTTGATCACAAAAAAAAGGGTTATTTTGCGATTTGGCAAATCTGAGTCTGCTGTTGACTCGTGCATGAGGACGAGTCTGCTGGATCTCTGGATCTGCTGCTATATACGGCTCCGAGTCCGCACGAGTCTGCTCTGCTGTGTGATTGATTGATTGAAAAGTTTATTAACAGCTTGTATATTGGGTACAGTACAGTACAGCTCAAAACATACAATTGTTAAGGGGATGCAGACCAGAGAAAGACTTTCGTCTTGTTTACATCAGGGTCCCCCATTTCCAATTCATCATATCATTTAAGACATATAAGACATATATGACATACAGATGGCTTATTTACAATTTACATACAGGTGGTTTTTTACATACAGATGGATTATTTACAATTTTCATTTTAGATTTCGTTCTAATACATCCTAACCGGACATTTAAGACATACCAAGTCTACAGATATACAGTTAGTAACAGAGTCTAAAATGCGAGTATATACATAGATGGGGGGGGGAAGCTGTCCATTGTACGACAGGTTGAGATTTGTACCATTACCGGGGCCAGTTTTGCAATGCTTTCCCCCGAAGGTGCTCTTTAAGAGAGGTTTTGAAGGTAAGTATAGTTTTACTTTCCTTTACAGTTGTGGGAAGAGCGTTCCACCTTGATGTGGCATAATTGCGAAACGTGTATTCCCCTTTTTTTGTGCCAAATCTGGGTTTTACATGATTTGTGGAGCTCCCTCTGGTGTTATGATCATGGTATTCCTTGACCTTTGGGAAGAATTTTGACATGTACATGGGTACCATAGAGGTGTAGTGGATCTTGTAGACCAGGCCCATTGCAAGTAGCTGTACTCTGTCGTCTACTCTAAGCCATCCTAGGTTGTCAAAGTGGGCAGAGGTGAGGTGGGTTCTAGATGAAAGGTCAAGCAGTAGTCTGACCAGTTTATTTTGCGATGTTTGAAGTTTTGTTTTTAGCGCCTTGGAGGTGCTATGGTACCATGACGTGCAAGCATAGTCATAGTACCCTTGAATGAGTGCTCCTGCCAGAGTTTTCAGGGTGTTTTTGTTTACCAGAGAGGAGATCCGGTATAGGAATCTAGTTCTTTGATTGACTTTTTTTATTACATTGGATGCCATTTTGTCACAGGAGAGGTTTGCCTCAAGAATAGATCCTAGGTATGTAATTTCCTTCTTACTTGTGACAATAATGTCACCCACTGCAACTGAGAAGTCGTCGGATTTGCTGAGATTATGTTTCGAACCGAAGAGAATGGACTCTGTTTTACCCAGGTGTAATGATAATTTATTATCGGCGAGCCAGGTGCAGATTCTGCCGAGCTCGGAGCTGAGGGTTTTTTCAACCTGCAATCTGCTCCTGTCAGAGACCAGCAGGGCTGAGTCGTCCGCGAACAGGAACAAGTTGCAGTCACATGCTGATGACATGTCATTTGCATAAATTAGGAACAGTAACGGACCTAATATGCTTCCTTGTGGAACACCACAGCTCACTGGGAGGGGGGGGGACAGAGTACCGTTTACCTCCACCATCTGTTCTCTCCCCTCCAGGTAGGATTGCATCCAGCTCACCGATAGTTTATCAAAACCAATTGCTTTTAGCTTGTCAATCAGAATGGGGTGATTGACAGTGTCGAAAGCCTTTTGTAGGTCCAGCATCACCATGCCGCAGTATTTACCCTCGTCCACCTCTTGTTTGATGTGGTCGGTCAAATAAAGAAGGCATGTGTCAGTGGAGTGGGATGTTCTAAAGCCAGATTGAAATTCATAGATTAGTTTCTTTTCTGCGAGGTACTTTTCGACCTGTTCATATACTATTTTTTCCATGACTTTCGAGATGGAGGTAAGTATAGAAACAGGGCGGTAGTTGCCTGGGTCCAATTTGCTGCCCTTTTTGTGCAGGGGGGTTACTCTTGCAATTTTGAAGTCTTTGGGTACTTTTCCCTGTTTTATGGAGAGGTTAATTATGTGAGCTATGACTGGTGAGATGGCGGTTGCTGTGTCTCTGAGGAATTTGGAGGGGATATTGTCGTGGCCAGTGGCCTTGTTAGGTTTGAGGGCGCTCAGTTTAATGAGTACCTCTGCTGTTGTTACCCTTGCTAGACTGAAATCATCTTTGCGTACCCCTAGGTTTTTGTAGTAGGTCATGATGTGATCTACTCCAAAAAGCCCTGAGTGGGAGGGTAATTTATTTACAAGAGTTGTGGCTATGTTTGTGAAAAAAATGTTCAAGTACTTGGCCACATCCAGTTTGTCTGTGATGAGCCTGTTATCTGTCTTTATGTTTACGTTTGAAAATCTCGTTTTGAGTTTTTTACTGCAGCCAAGCTGGTTATTGAGTAATTTCCAAAGTTCACGGGGTTTATTTTTGTTTTCCTCAGTTTTGTCATTGATGAAATTCTTTTTGGCAGTTTTGATCATGGAGCTTACGTCATTTCTTAGTCTGTTTCTTTCAATTTTTAGTTCAGTCACGTGGGCCTGGAGTTCACTGCTCGTGCTTTTGGAAAGCATTGACTGACTTTTATGAAACTCAGAGCATTTTTTGTCTCTGGTTTTCATGGCGGTCAGTATGCCGGAGTGCATCCACGGCTCAGCGCGATTTTTTACCCTGGTTGTTCTTAGGGGGGCCAAATCATTGAGTATTGCAGAGAATTTGTTTTTGAAACCAAGCCATGTTTCTTCAACTTGTGTACCACTGAGCTCATCTGACCAGTCCAGGCTCTCCAGTTCTAGGTTAAAGGCCTCGCTAGAGTAGTTTTTGAGGTCTCTAGATATGACTGTTTTGTGACAGCCGGCCTTTTGTTTTAGCTTTTTGCGGGTACACAGTGTTGCACAGTGAGTCAGGATTTGCAAATCTGAGTCTGCTGTTGACTCGTGCATGACGACGAGTCTGCTGGATCTCTGGATCTGCTGCTATATGGTTACGGCTCCGAGTCCGCACGAGTCTGCTCTGCTGTGTGTTGCAGCGAGTCAGGATTTGCGAATCTGCGAATCTGCTGTTGACTCGTGCATAATATAGCGCGGGAGCCGGGTGCTGGAGGAGGGGCTATGCTCGTGCACATGACGAGTATGGATTGCTGGATCTGCTATGCTATTACGGTTAGGAGCCGTCGGCTCCTCTGAGTCCCCACGAGTCTGCAGGAAGTTTCACTGATCCGCGTCCCCTCCCCTGAGCCAAACGATAACTTCTGGCAGGCAGCTATCCTGTATACTTGCTAAAGGGTAGGCAGATGGACTGGGGCAGCGCCATATAGATAGAAGAGTTACGACAGCGGAAGTCCAAAATGCTTGATCGTCACGTGGTTCAGGGAGAGTCAATAGTTCCCCGGAAGTTCGTGGCGGGACATATGAATGCATGATTACCGGAAATAGAACTACGATTTTTGGTAATAAGTAGTGAATACAGCTCTTGATTTGCAATATTTATACAACATACCGATATGTGTATGTATTTACATCAATATCTTTTAAAAAATAAATAGAATCTGCTAATATTTATGGATAATATTAGGAATAGTGTGAACAGCTAGTTTACTTGTTAACATATACATGTTAGGCTGTTGCCTTGGTTAAAGAGCCTGTTGCTGTTGTGTATTGCTTTGAATTATTTAAAACAAATATTATCTTCTTAAACAGGTATGGTAGTCAGGAGCATCACTTCCTAATGTTTATTGATATATTTAGAGGGAGGGGATGGCAAGGAATGCTTCAAAATTTCGATTAGATTAATATCTACCATTTTTTTTAATTCATGGTGGTTTAAGTAATCTAAATGACTAATGTCATCTTTATGACTTAACACTGGAATCGTTTTTTTATCCCCCAGCAATATCTGACTTGAAGCAAATAAGCGCGAAAAAAAGGCGCCCTCAAGAGGAAGTCAGTTGGAAGGATTGTCGGTGGAAAACTGCAAAAGTCGAGTCGCGGTAAGTTTTAAATGAAATGATAAATATGACTTTATGCTGGCAATCGGTATCACTAAGCTATATTCTCATTCTCAGTGGAGCTAACTCCAGTTAAGCTATATTCTCAGTTGGAGCTTGTCACGATCTGTCTGTGTTGTGTTTTGTCTTGTCTTTTTCTGTCTCTGGTTCCTGTTTTGTTTTGAAATGTTTTCCTCCTTGTGTCTTCTCTGTTCCTTCTTCCTGTGTTTGCCTTCCTGTCTTAGTTTCCCTGGTGTGTCTGATTGTTTGATTGTGTTCACCTGTTGCCCTTGTGTTTCTGCCTCCCTTACCCCAGCTGTGTCTCGTCTTGTGATTACCCCTCCCTGTATTTAGTCTTGTCTCTTCCTGTGTTCCCCTGTCGGTTCATTGTTGGTTTTTCCTGTCTTCCTCCATGTCAGTCTTGTTTGTTTCTCCTGTCTCCCACCATGTTGGTCACGGTCAGTTTTCTATAGAACCTATGTGTTTCATGCCATGCTATTGTTAAGCTTTAAGAATAAAGCTCGTTTTTGTTTCAAGACCGTTTACCTTTTCTGATAGTCTGCATTTGGGTCCTACCCTTCCACGCATCCTTACAGAGCTAACTCCAGTTAAGATAATATTCTCAGTTGGAGCTAACTCCAGTTAAGATAATATTCTCAGTTGTTATGCCGTGATATTTGCTACAAACTGAAAATCCAACAGGTAGCCTACTGAAGTAAAGAGAGTCCCTTAACACGACAATAATTGTTTATCCCCCAGAAATATGTGTAATTCTGTGAATGTAAAACCCACACACCTCAAACTTTAATTATTCCTGTGTTATTTTCCAAAGATAATGTACACTTTTTAATATTGTAGTTAATCTCCTGTTAGCAGTTTGTTTAAATGTATCAGTCATATTGTTTTTTGTTTTGTAGAAGCGCACCATTTATTGATTTGTTGTAAAAACGAATCGGAACTGAACTTGATCACAATAATAGATACAATTCATACCAATTTTGGGAGGGAGTAAGGCATCACATGTTTTTATGTGTAGGAAGTTGTTAAATTATAGCAAAAACCCTGTTACACATTTTGTTTTTGTCTTGTAATTTGTTTGTATCATGATGTTTTTGAACTTAACAGTAATATTCACACTATGTTACAGAAATTTGAAAGTGGGCAGAAAATAGTGGTTGAGTGGCAAGTGCACTATCACCATTAAGGTAAGCTGCTTCCATGTGATACATTTTGCTAAACTATATGAAGTATCAATGTTAAATGTTGTTTCTTCTTTCTTTTTCAGAGTAACTGGCTGTTGACAACCTATACAGGTTGGCTAATTCTCTAATAATTATATAGTCTTACATGCAGTATATTGTATGTTTTTTAAATGACATTTAACACTAGAACCGCCAACGGGTAAATTTGTGAAAAAACTTTGGGTTTGTGTCATGCATTACTGATTGAGATCACTCAGATCCGCCATTCAGTATCCCCATTGGATCTCCAACGTTTACTATCATACGTCACGTTCACAGTGAAAAGTCTGCCAACTCGCGCCGAGTAAATTGCACAGACAGCAGCTAGTAAGATTGATTTCAGCAGCCGCTTGTCTGGAAATGCCGAAGACTAGAAACGGTTTTGAAAACTTTTGTCACGTAGTGATCGTCTTCTCAATAAAACATCTTTGCTGATGTCTTCTGGCCAATCAGAATCAAGATAATGGCGTGGTGTTGTTGGAGGAAGTCCCGACGGAGAATACTTTTGCTGTAGAACTACTCTTTATACATCCATGGATACAACATTCAACGTAATGAAATAAGACCCCATGGTTTGATGATTGATAGGTGTGTGCCTTTGTGCAGGTGTGTTGCAGGTCTTACGATGGGGTGGAGCTGAAGAGGCTAATCAGCGCGATCACGGACACCTCCGGAGCCGAGGTGCTATTATGCCCAGCTGCCCGGAGTCACACGGCGGGCCTGTCTCTCTCCAAAGCGGCTCGGCGATCCTCTCGACCACCTATCTCTGCATTTACCACAATAAATGTGCCGTGGTTTTGTAAACTCATGTATGTCTCCTTGTCTTTCCGTTGTGGCCTACGAGCCGGTCATAACAAAGAATAAGTTATTTTTACCTGTAATAAACTACTACTGTTTGATGAGAAATCAAATCATGGTTTGCTATATATGAATGATATGTTATAGGAGCAAATAATTCAGGGAAGAAAGGATAGGCCTACTAAGTATTTCCATTAAACTTTATTTTTAGAAATGTACAAAATGAACATAAATATACATATATACACGGTATATCATCCATTCCTCCCCGCATCTTGCCTGGGCGCAGCCAGTGCTTTTTAGGACGAGGCCTCAGTGTGGTAGTCCGGTCCCCGTCATGTATTGTCCGCCAGGATCTGGCTGGACGAAATCAAATGCAAATCACAAAATATTAGAGAAACTTAGTTGTTTTAGATTCGTTAGTAGTAGTGGTAGGAGTGTGGATCTATCTAATGAACAGCTTGCCAGCTAATATGCTAACCTAGCTTTCTTGTTTACTTTGGTAGCTAACACGATATGAACGCTGGCTCGGAGGAACGGCAACTATAATGTAGTGTAATAAAACTAAGAACAAAAGCTAGTGGTTCATATTAGGCTAGCAATAACGTGTTTATAATTGCAATCTTATATGGGTATTCTGCTACGTTCGGTCATACATTGTAACTTGCATGAATACATTGTTTTGCGCTAGCACAGGGGTCGGCAACAGGCGGACCGCGGTCCGGATCCGGACCCAGACGCCGACCTATACGGACCCGGACCTATAATCAATACATTAATAGGGGATTTCAATTTTGACGGGGCGATTCTATTTTAACCGCTGCCGACAGGGGGCGAAAGAGACGAGTGAGCGATACAGGGAGAGAAACACAGAAGAAGAGACGAGAGCGCGGCAGAGAGAAGCGGAGAGGAAAGTGAGTAAAGAGAATAGTTAGCGATACAGGGAGAGAAGCAGAGAGGAGAGTGAACAGGCGTGTTAGCGGCAGACAGGGAGAGACAAATAATGACACATGGCGCTCTCCAAGAAGAGGAAAGTGGACAGTGAGAACAGAGCTTTTAACCCTGAGTGGACGGACTCATTCATGTTCATCCTGCCCACTGGGAGCACAGAACCAGTGTGTCTCATTTGTTCATTGACCGTGGCGCTTAAGCAGAATACAAAAATCAAGTAACTGTACTCAGCTCGCGTTATATTTGAAAAACGAGTAATCTGATTACAGTTACTTTCGTAAACCTGAAGTGAATACATTTTGGAATACTTATGGGAATTATTGGTGGAAAAGTTTCCTCATAAAATGTAATAGTCATTACCAGCAGAACTGTGTGCACACTGCACAGCGCTGCAGCGTGTCTGTGAGGCCCCGCCCCCGCACGCAGATCAGAGAGAGAGATCTCTTTTAAAATATATTGAAAGTTAGAAACGGAGATGGTTCGATAAAATGTGCAAGATAGCATTTCTTTATTGTCGAAATGATGACATTTCATAACGGGATCAAATCAAAGTGAATGGCCTGCTGCTGCTGAATGCATGGGGCAAGTGACTGGAAACAGTTTTAAAAGTTATTACGTCGTTTCAGATAATAAATAATAATGATAATTCATTCTATTTAGGGGCGCCTTTCAAAGCACCCAAGGACACCTGACAATTCATAACATATTCTAAGGAAAGGTTTAAGAGAGTACAAATAATGCAGTCCGGGTGATGTTTTTTATTTGGGTAGCAGATGAGAGGGAGCTGTCCAGAATGACACCAAGATGTTGTGTTTGAGTTGTGCTCTTGATAAGCCATTAAAACAGTAAAATAAGTGTCTCCTGTTCACCAAAACATACCCATCTGTTATGGAAAAATAAAGTATTCCAAAAGTATTCTAAAAGTAATCTGAATACGTTACTTTTTTAAGACACGTAACTGTAACTGTATTCGGATTACTTTCAGAATATCAGTATTCAGTAACCGATTACATTTACAAAGTAACCCTCCCAACCCTGATTAAAAGTGCCAAAACGCCACTATGAGACAAAACACAAAGTGTTTGACCAAACATTCCCTCTCAAGTCAGAACTGAGGTCACAAAAAATAAGCAGTCTCAGAGCCCAATATGATCAGTCCACCAGGATCAAAATTAAAACTAAATATCGTTCCAGCGCAGGCTAACCGAGGCTAACCAATGAGCACCTGCATGTGTGTATGAGAATGGCCCTGACACCATTTCAGCCCAGATTTAAACTCCGGGCAGGACAAGCTCAAGCTCAATTCTCGCACTGAATTAAAGAAAAGTGAGTGAGGGACTGCAATATAAGAGGGAAAGAAAGAGAAACTTTAAAACTGTTCAATTGTTATGATGTGTAAAGACTGATATTGTTCTATAATAGTCTGAAACTGTTAAGTCATGATGTGAAACGGTTAACAAAGCTATTTTATTTATTTCTCTATTTTATTTTTAAATGCAGCCCGAGAGGAACATTACACATATCCACAGTATTTACTGTATATCTGTATAGTTCAATGTTCATTGACAATAAATATTGTTGTTTTTGAATTGTACTTTCTTTATTTGATTGGCAGTCGGTTGTTGATGACATGCAGACGTTGATAAAGCTACAGGCTACTTCAATATATATCACACTAATTCATAAAGCAACTTAGACATTTTGATGTTCCGGACCTTTGCATGGGGAGATTTTCTCTAACTGGACCTCGTTGAATTTTAGTTGAATACCCCTGCGCTAGCATCAGTGGCGGCCAGTGGTCTTTTTTTTTGGTGGGGCTCTTGATGTACCGTAAGTGACCTACCCGGGGGGTCCGGGGGGTTTCCCCCCGGAAATTTTTTTCGAGAAATGACCCCTTAAATGATGACTTCTGGTGATGTTAGAGGGGGGGGGAAAGGAGAAATCGAGGCTTAAAAATATGAGAAGACTGATCAATACCTCCATAATCTTCAGTGTGGAAAATATTATTTATCAACCTGAACATCTACTACTTTACCAGGAATTTGTGTTCTCAGAACTGGTCTGTTTTTTTCTTTCTTAAAACTGTTCATGTTTTATGAACCAACACCTTCACCAAGTAGCTTTACAGTGAACTGCATGTGAGATATAAAATTAATAGCATCTTTTCAGTAGCATTAATTATAAATATTTAAGTGGTTCAATACAAGTCACTACAGCATTTCAAACTGAACTGTGAATAAATGCAATTTAAAAAAAATAACCACAGCACAAAATGTCATAAATTGTGTTTTTTCTTTGTTTCTCTGAGGATTATTTACAAACAGGCTTATTTACATATAGCAATAACTCAGAAATGAAAAAGCTACATCGTCTAACACGAACAACCAGTTAGCATAATGATAATATATGTGTTATGTACAATGTAACTGGCAAGGCTAGAGCAAGAAAGAACATAAAGTTTGCAAAAGGTTTAAATAACTTCAAGTATCTGTCTTCAGATTACGTGGAGGTTTTAGTCCGATGGGAAGCAGATTTTAAGCGACACCGAAGATAAACCAAAAATGTGGTGGAGCTGCAAACCGTGTAGTGTTGCTGGGACAGAACAGGAGCTATAACTGTTGGAAAATACATCACAGACAATGCAACAAACGTGGAGACAGAACAATCACTTCTGTGATAAATGCCCACTTATTAATAAACTTCTAACAACCATGGGAAACCTCCTCTCTACATATAAAGTGATATCCAAGCATGGGAAACAAAAGACAGCATTTACCTGTTTGCATCCAGCTAGCCAAGCCTTTCTTGTGTACCAGCTACTTGTGAAGCCTCGTGTATAAATGTTGTCTTTTTCACGAGATTGCTGCGATATATTCAAATCGGGTTGGTCCGGTGCAAGGTCTTTAAGCAACAATTTATCTGCCAAACTTCTCCTTTCGAAAGGATTGGAGATTAGCTCTTGAACAGAATTAGGCGCGGACCGAGGTCCGGAGACTCCACCTGCACACGAAGCCATCCTCATCAACTACTGCGTCAACCGGATACGAGTCACTGTCCAAACTACTCACAGACTGCACTGGGCGCTGACATTGGCGCCCGGTGACCGTCATCTTTGACGACGCTGATTGGCTGAAATTATATTTTCGCGGCATAGTTTACACGTTACAGATAGCAACAGTCAGCTGCTGGTGGCTGCTGCTGCACTGGTTGAAGGCTCCTCTCTTAGCGCCCAGACGAGAGAAGGTGCATGGGCAAGGCCAGGCAGGAAACATGTGACTTATCAGTAACTTTAGACATCGTAACACAATTTTAAACGAGATTTTATTGTAGATTATACATTTTACTGATACCAATTATATAATATTTACCTTGTTCATTAAAAATAAAAATAAAAACATATATATTTTTTTAAACATATATATTTTTTTTTATTTTAATTTTAATTTTTTTTTTTTTTTTTTTTTTCAATATGGGAAGAGGTGGGGCGGCGCCCCTAGCGCCCCTATGGACCGGCCGCCACTGGCTAGCATGTATAGCTAGCCTCGTTAGCTATACATGCAGTATGTACATGTACTGTCACAATGTACGGTAAATCACCCGGTGTGTGTGACTGCAGACATTCTCCTGCCATGACAAACATGTAAGGCCATCTGCTGACATTGTAGTTGATATATTTAAACGCTAGCAACGTAGCATAACATAAATGTTTTTCCGAGCAAACCCATGTCTAGCTCCGTTGGTTAGATCGGTAGCAAACACGCTACGCCAGCTATAATGTAATTACGTTTCGCGACTGACCGCACGGCAAATCACCCGGAGTATACTGTCAATAGGTATTTTGTGTGTGAATGCAGACATTCTCCTGCTATGAGATACATGTATGCAAGGCCATCTGCT